AGGAGCCCAGTACCTCTCTTCATTTGCAGAAATCGTACAACTTTATGGATAACAACTTCTGGTTTAGTTCTTTGAAAAGCATTTAGAAGTGATACACATAAGGAAGAGAATATGGATGTCAACTTCTATACTATGAGGAACACAAGGTTTCAGAGTATATGCTTACTTCTTCATCAGGTGATTGACTTGGGACTTGTTGCTTTGATCTGTGTCGGGATTATTGCCTAGCTGGCTTCAATTTGCCCCTTGCTACGGTTCAACTGTCAGTGCTTATTAACCCCTCCACAGGGGATAAAATTAATTTATTTTAGATCGTGGAATATGTATTTACATATTTATTGTTAGAGCAAATTCAACATAACTTTATAAATTGCACGAAGTGCATTTTAGAATTAATACCATTGTGTGTTTATTTTTCAGAATAAATGAGTGCATGTCAATTTTGTATGGACGTTATCTGAACTTGATGTATGATACATATTTACTGTACAAAATGTGTGAATCTGGACGGGTAAACAAGTACAGACTTATTACATTTTTTTAATTTGAAGTTCACATGATAGACGGTTTTCCCATTGGACGAGAGGTCACTCACATGACCGCAAAAGTGACGTTCATAAGTGCATGGACGACACAGTTTCACGTTCATACGGGGGCAACCCGTTGGAATACAGAAGTGTTCTGAACCTTTAAACCCTTTAATCTTGTACTCAGCGTTTTTGTGTACATAAGGGGGCCCAGTCGTGTATGGCGCTGCGATTCGCTGTGCTGAGTTGCGTCCCTTGGGCACGCCATAAACCTACGATTGTGGCTTCGAATCCCGGTTCGCCCCGATTATGTTTCTAGGTTTGTCAGCACCATGCCCGTGCTCGTGGGTTTCACCGAAGTGGTAAACGTCTTAGACCTGCATCACTTCGGGCTTTCCTCCCACATTAAGCTGACACGCCGCGATATAACTGGAATACTGCTAAAAGCGGCGTTAAACCCAACTCACTCACTCACTCACTCACTCATACAGTTTAGCCCTCTCTCTGTGAAGGTTAATACTCAAATAAACACACACAAAGTGAAAGTCAATTCTTAATTATTACCGCTCGAGTTGTCATACAATGTGATCACTTTTAATGTCGAGTCAAGGGTGAGTAATACTAATTTTGAATGCATGAGAGTTTAAACGATAATTTGCACTTCGAAAGAAGTCGGAAATCTGCCAAAGGTTGACATAAAATGTTGAACAGATTTTAGTATACAGAAACGACCAAAATATGGGAACTAATTATTTCAATGAAGCTATCATCGTTACAATACACATCAATTTTGCAAGTGTGTGTGTGTGTGGGGGGTGGGTGGGGGGGGTGGGGGGGGGGTTGGGTCTGTGGGTGTGTGTGGGTGTGTGTGTGGGTGTGTGTGGGTGTGTGTGTGGGTGTGTGGGTGTGTGGGTGGGTGTGTGGCTGCTTGTACTTTTCCGGCAGATACCGATTATTAGTGCTAGCTCACTGAGATACCATGCCGCAATTTGACATGAATACCAAACTCAGACACAGTACACTGATTCCGAGCCGACCAGTCCTTGTTTTAACCCCTAAATGCCGAGCGCCAGACAGGATAACAACAAGTGCCATCTTTTGGTATGACGCGGCCGGAGATCGAAAGGGTACGATAGAGGAAGGTGGGGCAAGTACCGTCAAACGGGTGGGGTTGCAATGAAACCTGGGCGTGGCAGGCCTACGGAAACGACAACCAGACATGAGCATCTTATCACATTAACAGGAACGCAAATCTACCATGAAAAACGGGCTCTATACAACCCACCTGAAAGCAAGCGTCTTGTGAAGGATTTGACACCAGATATTGATCTACACGCCTGGAATTTATTTTAAAACAGGAGAACCTTTAGACTACTGTATCAAAACTTCTCGTGATGACGATTGAGCCGCAGTTACATGTCAGACATGCAAGCAGTTTGTGTGAGATTCCGTCGGACGCGAACTCGCGACCTTTGTATTGTTTGACCGACAGCTTACCGACTGAGCTCCGTCCACACTTTGAAACTATGTGCAAATTGACCTGGTCATGCCTGTGACGTTACGGAACTGAACGAAAAGGGTCGATTAGGTGACGGACACTCACGAAGGATACGGGTAGGCATGGTGTCTCGTGACTTTAGTCTAATGATCCCGATGCAATTTGGCACACTCGTCCCATTCCGTAATCTGAGGAATGAGCCGATATGGCGTGAACTGAAAACTGCTCCAGGCCGCGCGTTCGGTTCCAAATTCAATTTAGCGCGGTTAAATCTGCAAGTAACCTAGCTCTAAACTGAAAACACAGTACGTTTATCTCCTGTTTGTTTCGCCTGTGTGACTGGCAACAAAATACTACAAATTACGTCATAGGGTATTGTCACGTGTTTGAAAAGTTTGTAATACTGTATTCTGGAGGTAGGCCAGCGGGGCGAGATCAGAGAGATAGCTAGGTGTAAGGTTCTTGAATATTTTGTCAAAAATAGTTAATTTGGTTTCATTGTCTTCTTTCGCTAAGTGAGTGGCGCAAATGTTGAGTGAGTGAGTGAGTATGGTTTTATGCCGCTTTTAGCAATATTCCAGCAATATCACGGCGGGGGACATCAGAAATGGGTTTCATACATTGTACCCTTGTCGGGAATCGAACCGGGGTCTTCGGCGTGACGAGCGAACGCTTTAACCACTAGGCTACCAGACCGCCCCTCATTCGCTAAGAGGCATAGAGTTGTTTCTGTGTATATTAGACAGTGACTAGTGCCACGGATTGTCCTACATACAGGCCTAAGAGTATCTAAATTTAGTTTTTCAAGAAGCAGTTGTCAACATGTGGCAGTGTTCAAACGATGTGCACATAGCTTCAGCGTTAGAAATTGGCACTAGTCCTGTAGTCCTTACCAAACTGCCCAAAAGCAAAGGTATCCTCAGGACTAGTAGAAATTGGCCCATTTTAAGGGTTTTGCTATATGTTATCATTATAAGGACAGGTGGACAAAATACTGTCAGTTTCTAACCCTGAGCTTCCAATGTTTTCCTATTTAAATGATATTTAACACTTCTGAGACAGTTTATCATAGGACTAACTTTCGAAACTATTTCACAGTCGTCTAAGGCGCCGCGATTCGCTGTGCAGAGTTGCGTACCTTGGGAAGGCCAGAAATCTATGATTGTGGGTTCGAATCCCGGTTCTCCCCGATTATGTTTCTAGGTTTGTCAGCACCATACCCGTGCTCGTGGGTTTCACTTTAGAGGTAAACGTCACTTCGGGCTCTCTTCCCACATTAAGCTGACATGCTGTGATATAACTGGAATACTGTTAAAAGCGGCGTTAAACCCAACTCACTCACTAGATTAAATTATGTTGACCCCTTGTAAAACGCCATGTTCTTGAATGGATCACTGAAAGTCACCAGGTGATCGCGAACACTAAAATAGGTCTCGCTACTCCTTGGCAATGCAAAAGTAGTGAAGCATATTAAAAAAATCCGGAGAAGATAATAACTTATATGGTGAAATGTCGTACCAGCATCAACAATGCACCTTCCCACTTGCAATGTCTCATTCTGAACTGGCTGACAACTTGCCTTCCCTTACACTTGCAAGTGTTGGATATGATCAAATACATTATCAAATTAAATGAGAACATATAAATAGAATCCGTGATTCAGGAAGATTTATTTGCCATATGTTTACACTGACTTCATCTACACCTGATCCCTTTGGGAAATAGTCCAATTCTCATTCCCATGATCACATCTGATAAACTTTCACTATAAATGAATTTGTTTTCTCATTTCTTAACTTATGCATATCCCATTGGCTAAAAAGCGTTCATACCTTGCCTTTGATGATGTTTGTTTGTTTGTTTGTTTGTTGTTTAACGCCGCACTCAGCAATATTCCAGCTATATGACGGCGGTCTCGAAATAATCGAGTCTGGACCAGACAATCCAGTGATTAATATCATGAGCATCGATCCACGCTATTGGATATCGATGACATGCATCAACCAAGTCAGCGAGCCAGATCACCCGATCCCGTTAGTCACCTCTCACGACAAACATGGGTTGCTGCATATATACTTAAAAGTGACAAAAACCTTTCCCCACATTAGGACGAACCCGACTGAATCATTGGCAATCTTTTATGAATCACTATCAAAGAGTGATGATACCGGGTGTCCGCGATACAGTGAACGTATTCTGCCCCACTGGTGGCACCCGTCACAAACACACGCAAAGGCAAATCAAATGTTCACCTGAACAAACATGGCAACTGTAACTAAACCTTTGACTCAAATGTAAATACAGTTAAATTTATACAGATTATACAATGTGTAGATGTATCGCACATAGAGTGTCTGCAGTTGAATACAGTAGCTAAAGATGTTAATCATAACTTGATCGTTCCTTCCCATTCGACCGTCTCCGTGGTCTAGTGGTAGAGCGTCCGCCCGGAGAGCAGGATCCCCGGCCGCGTCATACCAAAAGACGTTAAAAGATGGTACCGGTACTTGTTCTTACCATGTCTGGCGCTCGGCATTAAGGGGCCAAATCAAGGACTGATCGGCTCGGAGTCAGTATAGTGTGTCTGAGTGGGGTATTCATGTTAAACTGCGGCACGGTATCTCAGTGAGCTAGCACTATAAACCAAACCGGCATCAGTCCGGACTAGTAAAAGCCACACACACACACACGCACACGCACACGCACACGCACACGCACACGCACACACACACACACACGTGCATGCACGTCACTATATAAGTGCAATAAGCTTAGGGGCGACGCTAAACCTAATTTCACCTCACCTCATTCACTGATGCGAACGGGACACGCTACATTAGCGTTCACTCATAGTGACCACGTGACATATCACTTCCGATGTGAAGCGTGCCAGTGGATTTAAAGCTGCGCTCAAGGTAAGCGAGTCAGTTTCTGAATGGAAGATGTGAGGGACATATATTATAGCTATGAAGAAGACGCGTTTGTTACTATGGCAACAGCATAGGTCCGGTGAAGTCAATCGTTTCTCGATAACTGATGCTGGGATCTGTACTCACACATGGTAACAAGAGTAGATAGGTTATGTGGGCATTCTTCACCCTGATTTAGAACATTAAACATTGCCTCGATCCCGCATGTATGTACTGTAGCGATCTAGAGCTTACCGATTGATGGAGCCTTGTGACCTACACTCGTGGAGTTCTATTTGTGATCAATTCCTTCGCTCGTGCTAAATATAGGACGTTCCTCCACCATCTATACGATGGTGAATATTAACGTTTTCTTTCTTCCTGGTCTTCTTGTCGAGTTTGCTGATGGTAACTAATACAATACTATCCTGTCTTCCGAAAATATGACATGAATAATTTTCAATAATATGTCTTTCATCTTTCCCGTGAGGAATCAAATAAAGTAGGTCAGGCGTGATGGATTCTGCCCTTGGCTTCTCGCCATGGTGCATTCACACACGTACATTATGTCTTTTTAACGCGACCTAGATTGAGGGGTTTATCAAAGAGTGAAGTATTTACTCAAAGCACAAAGGCGTCATCCACGCTGAACTTTGAATGCAACTTATTATCTCGTCCACGTGAACAACCATCTGTTTCGCCATGGAGTTTCAACGACAGAAATATATATGCTGTAAACTATATGTCGGAACTATAATTTCCTTGTACCAGGGATGTGTGACGGAATATACAAGAAGCAGAATACATATGTTGACGCGTCTGAACTACTACTACAGCCACAAGGAATACCCGGTATTATATGGCAAGGTCTGTATCTATAGATGTCAAACCTTAAGTATTATGATTGTTTTGTATGATTTTCAGTTATCCATACATGTAGTTTTCACAGCAGTCCTGTCTCTTATGCCCTTATCTCTCTGGTATTGATTTTTAGATTCAATTCACATATTACATAATTTGAGAAAAGCTTCACACTTCCATGAAATTTGTTTCCAAACAGAGGGATGAACAAATTGGCCCACAGTGCTGTCTGTATTTCTTGTCCGAAATTGTAATATAGGAATTTTATTTGTTCAACACGTTAAGGCTGTTTTTAATATGGGAAATATATCAATATTGATAATTATTCACAGCCTGAAGCTGAGGCACATGTATCTAGGAGGTGACAATCATTATGAGCATGGGTATATTATCCTCAAAGCATTGGTATGTAGATAGTCTTATCAAAAGACACCATTGTAAAATTATTTTTCTTTTCGAATATTCGGAAATTAATTACGCTGTCAGTGTTTTACTTTGAAATAATGTTTGGGATTAACTTAAACAACAGAGCGCGCAACGAAATATCGACATTCAACTTTAGCACTAAATCTGTTGTGACTGAAGTATATTTACGAAATCTCAATGAAATCAGTATCGGTATTTTAGATTTTCGTATCGCCATAATTTCAAACATGAATGAATTATCTTCATATTGTAAATTAATCAAGAGCTGCAACTATTTAAGAAATACCGCCATTGTATACAGGAGAGGTGACCTTTATTTTATAATATTTGATTCCTTTATGTTACGTTGTAGCCTTGCCATGCTGGTGACAAATAGTAATGCCGTTAATCTTCAGAGTTAGGATTATCATATATCTAGATTAGTGCGTATGGATTAATGTCCTTCTTTATAAAGACAGTAGTAATCGCCCAGAAGAGGTTTCTGGGTTAACAGGTTCACACTGACATGTTCAATCAATCAATTTATTATATGTACTTTTAGGCCTCAAGCCTTTGTCTGTTAACCTTATGGTACAGGCTGAATTGCAGTTCACCGTACATTTCTTTCCATGTGTGCACAGTACAAATATTTTGCGAGATTTGTGATGATGATCAAGTTTGGGGATGACATCAACATGTTCAATTTATGAATGTTAGGATGAAAATAATGTATAGTTGTCTAAACTGTACGTATGCTTGTAGACTAACATCTAGTCTCTGAAATGAACATATCGTACAGAAAAAAAATAGTTGTTAAATTATCTTTGAAAAAAATAATAAAAAGGAGCCCAGAGATTCTCTTCATTTTCAGATACTGAGAAATCTAGACTTGCCAAACGTTATAGACTTGCATGGGCTGTATTTGATATATTTGTATCAGGGTCTGTAAGACAGACTAGTATGCTGGACACACTAAAAGAATATGGAATTCATTTTCAACGCTGTTCAAGTTACAAAGTCTACATCTTCTTAAATTTCTTGGTATACTGAAGTGACGCATACTCTTAATTTCCAGGTCATGACAACTTAAACAAAAACGAGAAAGAGCAATTTTGCATTTGCTTTGAGTTTTGACGTTCAAACAGTTTTGACAATTTATAGAAAATGTTAACCGGATTATTCATGTCGCGTAGTTAAACATACACCTCTTGGTGTGTCGTTTTTAGATATATTACAATACCAGCATATATTGCGGAACACGTTTGATAGTGCTACATAACACATGTTCATGTGTCGGAATCATACAATCGATTCTGCTAATGGCAGACATGTCGTTTGGATATGGAAACGGCTTTGTTGCTATTATTCACATCAATAGACATGTCGCGGGATATCTGTCCGTTTGGTAAATATTGACATTTAAAAGACAGTACAGTGTGGGAATAAATCTCTCTCTTTTCTAGAATTTTCCCCTCTCCCCGCCCCTAACACCCCCCCCCCCCCCCGACCCACCAGCCACACACACCTTCCATACATAAAGTAATCCCATAAACACAAAAATCATTATCTAAAACATCGCACAAAAGATATGTTTTGCGAAAATAAATACAGTGTAATGCGGACGTAAGATAGTGTTAGTATAAATAGTTCCCATCACAAGAATTGCGTCAAGCACGGCTGGTTGCCAACTGTGTCTAATCACAAAGGTGGTGTGTGTATATGTTTGGGTTTGGGGGAGTGGGATTATTAAGAGCGACGACCTTTGCCCCGACGCTCGTATGCAACTGGTTTATGCATTGCTCAAGATGAGTCTAATCAAAAAGGTGGTGTGTGTATATGTTTGGGGTGGGGGAAGTGGGATTATTAAGAGCGACGACCTTTGCCCCGACGCTCGTATGCAACTGGGTTAAGCATTCCTCAAGAGGTGATGTTTCCGTCGCCATGGGCAACCGTTTCTATACATTATTAGCTTCTGTTATTCGATCAAACCAAGAACTGTTTTGAAAAAAAAATAAAATAAAAAAAATAAAAATATGAAAGTGTCTGCAGAGATGTATATTTGGGTATACTCTATTCCATATCCCTCATAGAATTCCTCCTACCCTGGTCAGACACAGATTCGGTGTCACACTCGGTGTGATACACATTGCGAGGATATAGGTCAGCTCCCGTCACACACCGTCAACCCGCATGTCCTGGCAGCTGTTGGCAACACACTGGTCGCAATGACGGGCCAGGCGTACTGAGCGCTCTTCTCATACAAACAGAATTCACAAGAGTCAGCGAAGTGAGTCATTTCAATCAATATACATGTTCGCGTCTCACCGTGGCTGTTTCAGTAGTTGTGTTTACGCCCTATATAATACACTGTAGCTATTAAATCAGTTCTTCTTACTCCCTATATTGTAGTGTTGCTATTGGAACTTGGCGATTTAATGAGTTGTCATTTGTGCAAAGTGTACGTGAAATGTATTTCGTTACAAAAACAAACTAACATTTATTTAACAGTAATAAAAGTCCAGAAAAAAGTCAAACTACCTCACAATTTGCTTTTGATAAAGTGAGTCATGCTATTTTTCTCTAAAATTTAGCCAAGAAAAGAAACAAATCAAGTAAAAGTTTAATTTCTGAAAAAAAACACTGACCAATAACTTTTAACAAATGTGCTTACTGTTTGTACAAACTAAATGTTCAAATATACATCAGAAGGGACAAACAGATTAATTTTACGTAAATAACGTAAAATTAATCTGTTTGTCCCTTCTGACTTTTCACTAAAATTGAATTTGTCAAAAACACAATGAAACAATGCAAATCCATTCTGTAATTGATATTTAAACTACATACACTACACTGTACATACGTTGCTTGTAATTTACCCACAATCAATATTTAAGCTTTGTCACGGCGGTCACACACAATCAACCAATTCACCGAGCGGAACTACCCGATCCATATCAGACAATTCATACGACCAGCAGAGGTCAAATTCTACCCCGGAATCGCCACGTACATGGATTGGAAAACACGATGTGAAAAAAAATCTTTTTGCGAACCCCACGAGCATGGGTATGGTACTGAAAATATACAAGAAAAGTACTCAGAGCGAATCTTTGATTCGAACCAACGTTCATACAGGTTTGTGGCGTAGTGAGTACACAAGCCTTTACAGCGATTTGCGGAGCTTCGGGTGACTGGTCCATCCATTACCCAGCTTAGAACACCAGGTAGAACGAGTGAATGGTAACTAAAGTCACATGAACACTGTTCCAGCGATATCACCACTTGGCATTATCACCACTTCACGTGGAAGAGTGAGTGAGTGAGTTGGGTTTAACGCCGCTTTAAACAGTATTATATCGCGGCGTGTCAGCTTAATGTGGGAGGAAAGCCCGAAGTGATGCAGGTCTCAGACGTTTACCATTTCGGTGAAGCCCACGAGCACGGGTATGGTGCTGACAAACCTAGAAACACAATCGGGGCGAACCGGGATTCGAATCCACAATCATAGGTTTCTGGCGTGCCCAAGGGACGCAACTCTGCACAGCGAATCGCGGCGCCTTAGACGACTGGGCCACCCGTGCCCCCGCACGTGGAAGACATTTCCAAATTTGACGCATCAGTCACAAAAATTATTTTCGATGCAATACCCTAGTTTGACTTGTACTATACCATACGTTCCCGTGTTTGTGACGGGTGCCACCGGTGAGTCAGGGCAGACACCGGGTATAACACTTTTTGATGGTGATTCATGGACGTATGTTCATGATATGGTCGGAACTGTAAAATCGACTCGCTTGTGGCAAATATTTCTTATGAACATGGAAAGGGTTTTGTCGCTTCTATTTAAGTATGAAACAAAGTATTTTACGGTGGCTGGCTTATTAGTTATGCGAAAGGGCCATCCGTGTAGATACCGTTGTCATTGGCGTACCCGTGTTGCCAGATAATCCCATTTGATGCCTGTTTGTTCCAATGACGCTGCTGTCGATATGAACGGCTACATGGAACATACTATTAAACTCACAACGAGATGTTTCCAAACGTAACTGCACCCGTGAAGATCCGGGGTAGAATAGGTCTTCAGCAACACATGCTTGCCGTAAAAAGCGACTATGCTTGTCGTTAGAAGGACTAACGGGATCGGGTGTTCAGGCTCGCTGACTTGGTTGATGCATGTCAGTGTATCCCAATTGCGTGGATCGATGCTCATGATGTCAATCACTGGATTGTCTGGTCCAGACACAATTATTTACAGACCGCCCTCATATAGCTGGAATATTGCTGAGTGTGGCGTTAAACAACAAACAATCAATCAATCCAAACGAAACTAACAAGCGAAATCAAATCCAAGAATCCACTCGATGCCGTGTTACTAATTTTCACCTTAAAGAAATTACCAAATGTGTACAACAATGTTTACTGCCGTTTGACATCCCTTCCGGTGACCGACATTTATCAAATAGCGTGTACACTACGCGAAATTTTCAGGAGGATTTTGGTTGATTGATGGATCGTTTATACATATATGTGTCATGTAAGTTATCAGAAACAATCTGACAATCTGCGCACTGTTATTTGTTTTTTATGTTTTCCAATGTAACCAAGAGAATTAGTCGGAAAGTGCTGATAACTACCCTCGTCGTTGAGCGTGATTTGCGTCCGTCAATAATGGCGTCAAACAGGACGGAAACGTTTACGATTTCTGTGGAATTTACCTGATCATTGTAATGTATATATTTTTAATTCCGTAATTTGTGCTACGATACTCTTCCCATGAATATGCTCAACACGTGAACCAATATATGCAAAAATTTGAATAAAGGATCTCTCAAAATTATAGAGAATGCTACACAGTGTAAAATCGGAATTTGGCTTTGTTTACATTTCAAACAAGTACAGCTATCCGAGCACATCGTTCATTTCCACACCTAATTTATTTGGCTTGATTTCATCTGGATAATTTGTATTGGTGACAAAAACCATTTTGTCATTTGATTCTAAAATGTATGCAATCTATCCGTGAAGATTCCGGGGTAGAAAAATGTCTTCAGCAACCCATGCTTGCCGTTAAAGGTGACTATGCTTGTCGTAAAAGGCGACTAACGGCATCGGGTGGTCAGGCTCGCTGACTTGGTTGAAGCATGTCATCAATCCCAATTGTGTGGATCGATCCTCATGATATTAATCACTGGATAGTCTGGTCCAGATTCGATTATTTACAAACCGCCGTCATAGCTGGAATATTGCTGAGTGCGGCGTAAAACAACAAACCAACCAACCAACCACAATACAGGAAACAACGGTTATAACGAACTTACTTTTTGGTCCAGACTACTTGCTGTAGTCATGCTGTATATGTACTTATAACGAACTACGGTTATCACGAACTAAACTTAGTAGTCCCTTTGAGTTCGCTAAAACCGTAGTTTACTGTACACACTGTGTCACAATACATCACTTTGTTTCAAGATCTAAAAATGTTGCAATATATCACTGTTACAATATCTTACTATGTGACAAGATTTCACTGTGTCACAATACATAACACTTTGTTGCAATATTTAACAATCACTCTGTGTAACATAGCTGTCCCGCCACGAGTTAGTCAACCGCGACTACAGCAATACACACCTTGTGAGTTTGCTGGGCTTAGAAAACAAGGAATTTACACTGTTTGTCCAAAAAAATCATGTGAAGGCACCACAAAGAGCTGTATGGTGAATATATTGATGTGAAGGCACCACGGAGAGCTGTATGGTGAATAAATTTATGTGAAGGAAACACGGAGAGCTGCATAGTGAATACATTGATGTGAAGGCACCACGGAGAGCTGTATGGTGAATAAATTTATGTGAAGGCACCACAGAGAGCCGTATGGTGAATACATTAATGTGAAGGCACGACGGAGAGCTGTACGGTGAATAAATTGATGTGAAGGCACCACAGAGAGCTGTATGACGAATTCATTGATGTGATGGCACCACAGAGAGCTGTATGGTGAATATATTGATGTGAAGGCACCACAGAGAGCTGCATATTGAATAAATTGATGTGAAGGCACCACGGAGAGCTGTATGGTGAATACATTGATGTAAAGGCACCGCGGAGAGCTGCATAGTGAATAAATTCATGTGAAGGCACCACGGAGAGCTCTATGGTGAATACATTGATGTGAAGGCACCACAGAGAGCTGTATGACGAATTCATTGATGTGAAGGCACCACAGAGAGCCGTATGGTGAATATATTGATGTGAAGGCACCACGGAGAGCTGCATAGTGAATAAATCGATGTGAAGGCACCACAGAGAGCTGCATGGTGAATAAATTTATGTGAAGGCACCACAGAGAGCTGCATGGTGAATAAATTTATGTGAAGGCACCACAGAGAGCTGTATGGTGGATTAATTGACGTGATGTCACCACGGAGAGCTGTATGGTGAATGAATTGATGTGAAGCACCACGGAGAGATGTATGGTGAATACATTGATGTGAAGGCACCACAGAGAGCTGAATGGTCAATAAATTGATGTGAGGGCACCACGGAGACTCTTCTTGCGAATGAAGAGCGGAATGGCGAGCAGATTGTAGTTAATACAATTTGGAGAGTTGCATGGCAAGTACAGCAAAGTCCCACAGAGAACGATGACACGTTATCAACCATTTCACCTTCCCTGAACGACAATGTTGTTGCCTTTTTACAACAATCAATAGAGTGTTTGGAACATATTCTTATCTAGTCCTATACTTATGATACACAACTTGACAGTTTGATGTTTCAGGTGGGAGCGTTGTGTTGAAGATGGTGGGCGCTGAAGTCAATACCAAAGACTGGCATTTCGTCATCGTCATTACAGTGTCGTTCCTGACGCTGTTCTTCAACGCAAGTTTAACTTACGCCTCGGGTGTGCTCCATGTGGCGTTACTGGAGACGTACCACGCTGACGTTGATGTGACAGTCTGGCTCGGGTCTCTATTCTTTAGCATGTCAACTCTTGCAGGTTTGTCTGCCATTTGTTTGTTTGTTTGTCGGTCAACATCGCACTCAATAACATTCCAGCTGCATGACGGTGGTCTGTATATAATCGAGCCGGAAAGAGACAATTCAGTGGTTGACATCATGACCATCGCTCTACGCAATTGGGATACGATAACATGCATCAACCAAGTCAGCCAGTCGGACCACTCTATCCCGTTAGTCGCCTCTCACGACAAGCAACGGGTGACCTAGTCTACGGCGCTGCAATTCGTTATGCAAGCCAGAAACCTGTGATAGTGGGTTCGAATCCCGGTTCGCCCTGATTATGTCTTTGGTTTGTCATTTACATACATACTTTTGTATATCTATTTCTATTACTGGGGCAGTCATGACTGATCAAACTTAACGATGACTGAACAATTATAACAGTGCTAATGCTCATTATAGAAACATAAAGCCCTAATCATATGAAATATTATACTGCAGGATAGACGAAACATTCAGAGCATGACGATGGTTGTGTGTATCAAGATTTACAAACCAACAAAAACTGATACATTTCAATATTACCAATATTATACATGTGATAGAATGAGAGAGAGAGAGAGAGAGAGAGATTGTAACATTTGAGACATGTTCTATTTTCTTATGTTTATTTATTGGTTTATAAAGGTCCACTTGCAAGTTTCATCATCAACGTAACAGACTGTCGCACCTGTGTCGTGATATCTGGAGTCCTCGGCCTTGTGGGTTTCTCTGCTAATATATTTGTAGACGATATCAAATGGCTATTCATAACATATGCCCTTCTTGCAGGTAGGTTCAGCGTGAGGTGAGGTAAGGTGAGTTGAGGTGAGTTGAGGTGAGTTGAGGTGAGGTGAGGTGAGGTGAGGTGAGGTGAGGTGAGGTGAGGTGAGGTGAGGTGAGGTGAGGTTTAACCTTGCGTCCAATATCATTGCACTTATGTGGCGATGTGTATGCACGTGTGTTTGAGTGTATGTGAGTGTCTACTTGTACTCGACCGGACTAATGCGAACTTTAAAGTGCTAGCCCACTGAGATACAATGCCGCAGTTTAACATGAATACCCCACTCAGACATAGTATACTGACTCCGAGCCGACCAGACCTTGTTTTAACCCCTTAGTGTCGAGCGCTAGACAGGGTAACAAGATCGATCTTTTAACTTATTTTGGTATGATGCGCCCGGGGATGGAACCCCGGACCTTCCGCTCTCCGGCGGACCCTCTACCACTGGACCATTGAGGCTGTCGTTTAGCGAGAGTACAATGTTCTTGAATAATCTTTCTTTGAAAGATGACCCATAGGAATTACCTCTTGTATCTCGACATCAAGACAAGAGTCATTGAGTTACAACTGTTTTGGTCGCAAAGCTCTCATAACAGTTAAATATTATTATATTGGGTATTTTATATAGGACCTGAAGCATATGTTGTTGTTTTTTTCAGGAGTTGGAACCAGCCTGGCTCACACGGGTGCCATAGTTGTCCTCGGATACCATTTTTCAGACAATATGAGTCTGGCTTGCGGCATCGTCGTGTGTGGGATGGCCGTTGGTTTGTTTGCCCATCCACCGTTATGCCAGTTCCTCATAGATACATTTGGCCTTCACCAAGCATTCCTCATCGTGGGAGCAATAGCATTCCATTCATGTGTCTGTGGGATGCTCATGAAACCGACCAGATTCGAGAGGGAACGTCGCGCCAAGGTATTCAGTGGAAGGCCAACGCGTCTGACGCTGGTCATGACGTTGTGTGGAGATTGTTCTGGTTATGCTAAAGTTTTCAGGAACAAATCGTTTCTGTTCTTTCTTATGTGTAGTTGTACATTCGGCATGGGCTCATCAGCTATGTATTTGTACCTCCCAGACTTTCTACGGAAACAAGGGATATCTCTTCAAGCAGCATCTTTCAGCGTTTCAACTTCGGGTGTAGGTGGCGTAGTCTCGCGTGTTCTCACGGGATTTGCAGCACAAGATCCAAACATTGGCAGTGGACTGATATTTGCTTCCCTGAACGGCCTCATGGGGGTGTTATCTTTCCTCATCCCCTTATTCACATCAACCTCAGCAACAGTGTGTGTGTACGGCTTCTTCCTTGGACTCTACACCGGTAGCAGCTGGGCACTGTTTAATCCCATCACATATGAAATTCTTGGAATGGATCTCGTGGCAACCGGTTTTGGAGCTGTAATGGGTTCTTGTGGCTTCGGATTTCTCATTGGTCCGCCTTTAGCAGGTATTGGTTGCGAACCAGTTGATAAATGAGAAATGAGTTAAGTAAGGATAAGAATTTATGGATGAACAACGTCTTTATTACAATTAAGAGCGAGGTTTCGGTGTAGGTTCTAACACCGTTATCAAGCTAGTGACCTAATTGTAATAAAGAAGTTGTTCATCCAAAAATTCTTATCCTTACTTAGTACTCCAACTTTTAAATGCCTTTCAAAGAAGGAATGAGTTAGTGTTGTTTTAAGGCACTGTCAGCAATATTTCAAGCTTTATTATTGTGTAAATTTATTTATTCAATAATCTAATCCTGTATGGTACAGTGCTTGATTGCATATGCAACAATATGCATCATACGGACAACATAACACACAACCAGCCAAGCCCTCAGTAGTTTGCCCCTATGCTATTCTGCCCTGTCATGTCACAAGACAATCATTGCATCAGTAAAACCTTCCATTTACGTCACGTAAAACCTGCACATAGTAGATAAACATCAGTGCAATTATAAAATAAAGTTTGAAATGTTAAGTAATGTGTACTTGCAACTGGGCTGAACTTTGGACAATTGAACATGATAGCGGTGTTGTTTTGGCGAACACCTGGTGTCATCACTGTTTTTCAGAGATCAAACATATACTGTTTACGCCCAGTGGAATCTGTTTCGGCAGATAATCGAGATTGATAGTCCTCTGGTGTTGACGTTTCATATTTAAACAGGGGGAACATCGTTCCTAAATTCACGCACCAGTTATATAACACCCTTCTTTCTATCTTCCAGGATATGTCTTCCAAATATCCAAGGTCTATTATGGCGTCTACATATTCGCAGGTACGTTGTATAGCGTAGCTTATCCACACAGGTGCGCGTTTATTGGTGCATTTCACATTTTTACTTCACTATTTCGGATCACGTTAATTTCTCTAAGGCCCGTTTTATAACTTTTCTAAAATAGTAATAGATCGAAATCATTCCTGCCAACCAGGTATTGTTTAAATGAACTTAGGTGATGTGCGGAGAAAATTTCAGCCAACGAGAAAACAAGGCAATAAGCATACTGCTTTACAATATAGAGCCATGTCACCTGTAGAGTTTACAGCTTTGATGAATTGGGGATCTCACGTACGTTATATTTATTTTCTTTCTTCTCATAAAACTTAAGGTTAACTCTTTGATGTAAGCGAAGGAGATAAGTGGCATGACCTTATTTAACTACATTGTTTTGGGACGGATGTCGATTTGAATCAAGGAACATAGTATGTAGTTTTATATATTCAAACATGGTATTCTACATTACCATTATCTACTCGCATACATGACGGGCATTGACGTTTTGAAGGACACTTATTTCGCAAGTAATGGCCAACATCAGTGTACAATATAAACTAAACTGCCTGGAAAAAGAAAGTTGGCACTTGAGTATTTGATTGGACAAAGAAATTACAAACGTCATGAAAACTACAGTTTTACAAACTCAACGGGACCACTAATTTTTTTTCGTTATAACCGTAGTTCGTTATAAGCATATGTACATCATAACTACAGCAAATAGTCGGGACAAAAAAGTAAGTTCGTTTTATCCGTCAGTTCGTTATAAACGTGTTCGTTATAAACGTAGTTTACTGTACCTCTATTGAAACACCACCATGGAATTACAACTTTTATGTTAAGTTCATTTTAGCCATCATCAAACACAGGTATAAACTTTAAGCACACATTGAGAAACCAAAAACATTTTCTCAAGCGTGAGAAAGATTCTCAACATAAAAGCCACATAGCATGTGTTTTGAGAATGTGCTGCGAACCTTGTTTTTTTGGGTAAAACATTTCAAAACATAACTGAGATACCGGTATTGAAACGAATAACCACTTCTTGTTTTTAGTTCATTTTAGCCACCATCATACATAGGTGTAAACTTTAAGCACACATTGAGAAACCAAAAGCATGTCTCAAGCGTGAGATACTCATATTCCCCACCAATGATATATTGTATTGATTGTAAGATTCACGCTTCTCAACATAAAAGCCACATGGCATGTCTTTTGAACATGTGCTGCGAACCTTGTAATTTTGGTAAAACATTTATTTTTAAATTCTATATTTTTTTAAGTACAATGAAGATGTAGTTATTGGGTTGGCTGTAATAACAAGGAGATAACTATGGTAACACTTACAAAAGGAAAGCAAGATGTCCATTTGTGGGAGATGCTCCTGGTGTCAATCTCTGGATTGTCTGGTCAATATATGCGGCGTTAAACAACAAGCAAACAATATCTCAGCTATATGCCGACGGTCTATGAGGATTCGAATCTGGACAAGACAAATCAGTGATTGATATGAGAAATGTCCCAAGGCGTCGGGGTATGGGTGAGTGAGTGAGTAACGTCACATCGGCAATATTTCAGCCATATCGTGAAGAAAGGTAATACATTAATAACACATATATGTAGACTTTATAAAAACCTGTCATTGAAGGGCAGTACAATAACTAGAATATCACAGAGTCGATTTAATACCAGTTGCGGAACATTTAAAAGCAGAAAGATTCAACAACACAATATAAAAATGGGCTAAAGATCATCAATAACTAAGGGGAGATCGCCATACTAGTGAGAGAGTGTGGTTTTACGCCGCTTTTAGCAATATTCCAGCAATATCACGACGGGGGACACCAGAAATGGGCCTTCACACATTGTACCCATGTCGGAAATCGAACCCGAGTCTTCGGCGTGACGAGCGAACGCTTTAACCACTGGGCTACCCGACCGCCCCGATCACCATACTAGGGACCATGGGGGCGTACAGTGCCTTTGCTTCCTGCATGGACCCCGGCAGGATTTATATCATCCCTTCAGTCACTGGCGATAGTTCACCAGTTAAGCCTAAGATAGAAATGACAAAACTACTACGTTTTAAAAGTCTGGCATGCATAGATATATACTTCGAATGATGTGGAACTTACATACCCTCTTAGCGTCGGGGTCTGAGATCACGGTGCCTGGTCACCCGATCTATTTAGTTGCCTCTTACGGACAGCATTGGTTGCATCTTCATCTTGTGCAACCGAGCACATGATGTTGCTAAAGTGCAACCGAATTCCTCTAAACCATATGCTGGAATCCAGATCCAAAAGACAAAGACCAGGCACAGGTTGCGAAGGGTCCGCAATTTTGCGTTCCAAAGCCCGTGACGGGTTTTTCTAAAGTTCCTTTTCGATGAAATAAAGTTTAACTATTTGGAGGTACGTGACTTAAGGAGAGATTGGAATGTAGATTTAAAAAGAATTTCATGATTTGTATTTTTTTTTGTTTATTTGAATGTCTTGTCAGCCCTAAATCGCACATGATCCACACAATTTTAAATATTTCGATCCATATTCCCCCGTGTCATATTGAACAGTTAGTAAAAGGCGATGAACGTAGTCGAACGTGATGCCGATTTATAGAGCTAGCACACTGAGATGCCATGCCGCAGTTTAATATGGATATCCCACTCAGACACACTATACTGACTCCGAGCCGACCAGTCCTTGTTTTAGACCCTCAATGCCGAGCGCCAGACAGGGTAACAACAAGTACCATCTTCTGGTACAATGCGGTCGGTGATCGAACGTCTGACCTTCCGATCTCCGGGCGACGCTCTACCACTTGACCACAGAAGTGTCGATTTACTTGAAGATATGCCTCCGTTCAACCAGACCTTCTATCTCCTCACATGGGCTGTATACTCTCCAGGGAGCTGAGAATGACAGGGGCAAAAATATTGTGAAACGCCTTTTTACAGATTAAAATAAAACATGCAGTAAAGAGGGTTTGGGTGATCCTGGCACAGTCAGGCTGTTTATGCTCAATATCAGCTCAGGGCCCTTGCCCCCTCTACACGCAGCCCAGACAGCGAATGGAACTTCTCCCATGAAGCGCTGCCTAGTCAAACCCACCCAGAATTTTTCGGAGAATGTGAAGACTCCCTAACACTGGAGCCTTCTGCATTACCCAGATTGTCAGAAGGGCTGTATTCCTAGTAGCAAACCCGGGTACACCCCCGATGTCAGTCAGAACAATGGGGAGTCGAACAACTTGGTACTTGGGATGCAAGTGTGATTTCAAAAGCGAGGTCCGCATATTTGCCATGTTTTTCCTCAATCTTGTCAATCACATTAGTGTCAAAGGGGACAGAAAATTCAATGATATAAATGATTTCATTGGATTTATCATAAAGAACAAGATCAGGTTTGTTGGCCTGGATACTATCATCATCTTCATCATCATCATCATCATCTTCATCATCATTATAATCATTATCAATTAATTATTTATTTACACATGGTGTCATAATTATAATTGTCTGCTCTCGTTCCATCAGGTGTGATGTTCTTCTCTTGTGCTCTCTGTGGCCTGCTGTCCACAACTTTCAGGCATTCAAGAAGGACTTGTCACGACACTGCGGATGCGCTGAACCCAAATGAAGTTGAAATCATCAACCAACAAGAAAGTGAACCATAGGACTCTTGCAAAATGTGATATATTTGTTAGTTTCCATTGTTGTTATATATAAAAGTTATTGATTGAAACTGGCGTGTTTGCTTTTTTACTGCAGTCAATTCACCGTGAATAGCTGAATTCGAAATTATGCACATAAATCATTGTTGTACGAAACCCTGTCCTTGGACGCGAACGTATGACTAATTACCACGTGCTGTGAGGAACATTTCAGCCTGAATATAGGCAAGTAGCAGTGGATTTATATGAACAGTATCGCCACCTAGTACACATGCTTGTTGAACCTTGAGTGAGTGAGTGAGTGAGTTGGGTTTAACGTCGCTTTTAACAGTATTCTAGTTATATCATGGCGTGTCAGCTTAATGTGGGAGGAAAGCCCGAAGTAATGCAGGTCTCAGACGTTTACCCCTTCGGTGAAACCCACGAGCACGGGTATGGTGCTGACAAACCTAGAAACATAATCGGGGCGAACCGGGATTCGAACCCACAATCATAGGTTTCTAACGTGCCCAAGGGACGCAACTATGCACAGCGAATCGCGGCGCCTTAGACGACTGGGCCACCCGTGCCCCCTTGTCCATGTGAGTATTTGAAGTTAATCTATTGTGATACATATGAAATACACGTTGGACAGGCACATTTGTCAATACAGTCTGGTTATGCAAAGAGGTTGTGACATGAAGACCAGAAGGTCATGAATTGATCCTATTCATATTTGTGTATGAGACATATTTGTGCGTATGATATAGGCTTAAAATATATTTTTAGTTCGGTAATATCAGGGAGAAATGTTGTAAATGTGTGCCGAAAAAACGCAAATGTGGAAGAAAAAAGATACCCATTAGCAGTTGTGTATTATGCGACTGTGTTCTTTTTTAAATATAAAGGTGTTAAATCATGTGGAAAAATAAAACCGTGCGAAAGTATTCTTTGAGTGTTGACTAAGCAACAGTACAGTTCTAGTTTCGGATACAACATAGCAAACTTAAGATATGTTAAATTAAGAATCAAATTCACGTTTAAATAAACTGAGGGGATCAGTTTCTTTTGCTCCTCGATTTCCAGGCCCCACAGTCCGGTCCAGTGGCTGACATCATGAGCATCGCTCCTAGCAAATGGGATACAATGACAATAAACAAATCAAGTCACCGTGCCTGACTACCCGATCCATTTCGTCACCTCTTTCGATAAGAATAGATTGTTGGAGACCTATATTCTTACCCGGAATGCCCAACGGGTTTATAAACACGTGAAATGTTGGCAAAGCCTCGTTCTAATCGTGACAGATTAATCACTCGTGTGTAGATTTTTCGGTAACAACTGAACACAGTGGTTAATCCTTTTTCTCCCATAACAATACGCCATAAAAAAGTCGAGCTCGTAGTTGAAGATTTCCCGTGTTTAGAACCACTCGGGAGTCCCTCCAGCCTCGTTTTCGAATATGCTCAGTGAGACAACTGCACCATAAACAGGTAAAAAGACAACCCACACGAGTTTTCCGTGACAGGCAAGCCACATGTTAGCATTCATGTTTTTGGGTTGTTTTTTTTGTAAACTATTAAAAGCTGATGGGAGTAACGTTTTGAGAATGAGTAATGTGAATTGATATTTGTTAATGGTTTTGGATTACTCGGCCAATAACTTTATTTGCATTTGTCTCGCCGTGACTATCATTCTCAATGCGCAACACTAAATAGGCCCACATGTTTAGTGTATGTAAATACGTTATTCGTTTATTTGTCCGCTAGAAACAAATGTTATAAACCCAATTAGGAGAGAATTAAATATTGTCTTAAATATTGTGAACTATTGTTAACGAAAAACAAGGAACTGTCAGCAGGACTGATCGGGGTTACTGCAAGGTAATTCTTCTCACATCCATCAAAGGATTGTAATATTTTTGAACGAATTTTCCTCTTTAAAACTAATTTTACGGTGAATAATTTAATATGTAAAATGATGATTATTTCATGTCATCTTTTTTGTTGTTCCTGAACATGGTGAGCACATGTGTTTTTATTATTTATAAAAACAACTTTCAGTGGACATTTTTTCTTTTGAACATGATATTTAACATCATGACACCAAAAATGTTACTAAATGAGTTATCTAATTTCCCCATATTTGTTAATGACTAGAAACTATGTGAATTTGACAAGCACAATAGTTTATTGTGTGTGAAACATAAATACATAGGATATATGTAAACAATAAATTATCATTTCAATAGTTCTACAGATATTTGCATTTTAATACCCTTGTCATTTTACATTGTTGTTTTACTGCAACAGTTACCTCCAAACTTTATTCTTTTCTTATTTCATCGGATTAGAAGTTACTGACTTACTGATAATAGGTAATTTAACATTAACATGTTCTTCTTTTTATCTTCATGAAAACAAGACTCATAATATATTTGTATTTAAGGGACCTGTTCATATATGATTTTTTTGTTATAAGTATTAAAATTAAAATTAGACATTGCTAATGTAAAGAAATGAGGTTTATAGTAAAATGTTATAAGAGGACCTCTTGTTGGTCATTTCTTCATCACCTATACATTTGAGGTTTTTTTTACTTACCATGTTCTGAAAATTTACACATTACACATTAGAATGATTTAAGGTCTCTGATTAAAATAGCGACACAGTTTTCCACTCTCAGGCAGCCAGTGAGCTTATGTGAAAAGAAAACACTGTAAGCCTTGTAATGGGAGAATAATAAATAGGAATACATTTCTTATTTCGTCATATTCAGTCATCGAGGTTCAAAGAATCAAAGACCAATTATATCAGATGAACATATGCAATAACCTTTGCTACGCCATTGCTTGATATGGAAACCCATAAATATCAAGATTAGAATAGGTCTTCATTAATCGATGGTTGTCTTAAAAGGCGGCTGTGCTTGTGGTAAGAGGCGACTAACGGGGTCGGGTGGTCAGTCTTGCTGACTTGGTTAATGCATGTCATCGTATCCTTATTGTGAGGATCGATGCTCATGAAGTCAATCACTGGATTGGTCTGGTCCAGAAAAAATACAGACTGCCTTCTTGTAGCTTGAATTTTGCTGGAGTGTAGATTGAACAACAAATACTCTCTCTCTCACTGGATAAGTAAAATTATATATGTGTTTCTATTGAGTCTGTCCACAAGCTTTAAGTCTGTCCATAAACTCTTTGCCGGTTTATATGAGCCAGTGTGTTTACAATTACGTCCTTTCCACGTCAGCTGCTGCCACCACCATCCTCACATTCCAAAAAGGAGTTTACTTGGTCCCCCATGGTGTCGGCGAGGGGTTTACCCCCCGTCTCCTTCAGGATCAGGGATAACACTCCACAGGCGGCCATGGTCAATCCAACAATGACGAAAGGCACCACGATATCACCATCTCCTCCCTGTTGACATAACGTTGTACATAATTCTCAAGTGAGGTTTCAATGAACAGTTCACATACGCACTGCTCTTCAAACATGGCCGTATTAAAGTTGATTTGAATACAGTTCATAATTAGGACACGCAAGAAATCGTGTGCGTGTGTGGTCATGACACAACATAGTGAGGTTGCAAGAGTGAGTGATTTGGGTTTAGCGCCGCTTTTAACAGTATTCCAGTTATATCATGGCGTGTCAGCTTAATGTGGGAGGAAAGCCCGAAGTGATGCAGGTCTCAGACGTTTACCACTTCGGTGAAACCCACGAGCACGGGTATGGTGCTGACAAACCTAGAAACATAATCGAGGCGAACCGGGATTCGAACCCACATTCATAGGTTTCTGGCGTGCCCAAGGGATGCAACTCTGCACAGCGAATCGCGGCGCCTTAGACGAATTGGCCACCCGTGCCCCCTGAAGTTATGCAATCGTTTCTCTAACATGATCCTCTGCATTGAGAATGAAACTAAACATGTAATAAACATTGATATGAAATGTGTTCTATCAGAGTTTATTCCAACAGTCAAGCAGCAGGAAACAGGGTTTCGCATAAACTTGAATTTTTTAGTGAGGTTGATATACTTATGGACAGAGTGAAACAACTGTACATTTTCTTTGTAGCTGCGATGGGAGTGAGTGAGTGTGGTTTTACGCCGCTTTCAGCAATATTCCAGCAATATCACGGCGGGGGACACCAGAAATGCGCTTCACACATTGTACCCATGTCGGGATTCGAACCCGGGTCTTCGGCGTGACGAGCGAAAGCTTTAACCACTACCCAACCGCCCTGCTGCAATGGGAAATCCCATTTAATAATACTGATACATCAGGACTAGCTTGGTTTTACAAATATCAGATAACAATGCTTAATCATTATTTGTTTTGCAGTTTGATAAAATGGAGATTCTATTGAGTAGTGATAAACATTTTTGCATGTTGAACTACAGCGTCAGTCATGACTTTCTATTAAATCAGTCATATTTTTGCTTAGTTAGGTCAGTGGTAGTACACAACACGGTTTGGGTCGACATGTCAGAAAGGAGTGAAAGTATATACTGAACCGAAAAAGAAACGTCACCATGGATAGATAAATGAGAAACCTTATTTGTCCACACACTGTAAACATACATTGAGACATATTTAATATATGAAACTTTGCAAAACTTATCATCAATGTTGAAATTAAAGTGTCAAATGTCCTTAAAGTGAAACACAACATTAGTCTCTGAGAAAATGGTATCACAAGCCAGTATCACGTGTGTCCGCCATGTGCACTGATGACTGCCATGCAACGTCGATACATGGTATGGATGAGGCTGTTGATGAAGGCCATAGGCACTTGAGCCCACACTCTGAGGAACGCCTGACGCAGTTCAGTTGCAGTTGTCGACCTTGGTCGGGGGTACATGGGATTTCATGCGTCCCACGTTAGGTTTTATAGTACTCGCCTCCGGCTCGTGATATAAAATCAAACGAGGGACACATAAAATCCCATGTACCCCGACTGATCCTGCTACAGTGAATATATCTTACCGACATGTTTTAATATGACATTGTAACATATTTTAGATCAAAATTGATCGAAAACAGCCTGCGCTATGTCACATGACTTCCATTGAATCGGAAAAAGCGTGCAGCTTTTTGCTTCGAAGCAAGGATTTATTCTGCCTCTCAGAAATCCATCCGCTGCCTGACTTGCTCGTGCTGAGAATTTGTTTCCCTTGAAGGCGGGATACACTGTATTCTTTCAAGATCATGTGGACTAATCAGATCTCATCATTCTGACATGGAGCAATGATAAAGTTTCTTGCAGTTTGTTATTCTCTTGAAAATGTTTTGTCATAAACTGTAAGTTTCTTATTTAACTCGTCAATCGACACTTTTCGTTTCGTATTCTTTCACTTCCAACTGTGGCCTCGTAGTTTTGAAGAATATTTTTTGTTCAAGTTGATTTTGCATATAATCACATCCAAACGTATGGTAAAAAAATTCAGTAACCTCAAATATTTTTCATTACATTTGTTAATATTCTTTAAGATTTTGCAAACTCGGAATTACTTTTTAAGTTGTAATTACAAGGGCTTGTGAAACGTCCCTGCGTGTTTGGTGGGGAGAACTTACGTTTCAAGGATTTGCATTTGTAATGAAAAACAATCCGGTAGTCAACAACACAAAAAGTTTCACCCAACACATGACATATCCTGTTTTATTGATATGGGATCCCGGCATATACTGTCATTTTACCTCGACAATGCAGGTATGCAGGTTTCTTGTGTGGGTCAATGCGTTGCCCACGCCTAAGTATGTTCATCAGAACATAGATCAACATTACACTTTCTCATGACAAGTTTGCCTCACAATCTCGTCTCATCGAATGCCAACCTGCCAAAGTATGAATCCCATCACAACGAACCTACCGTTGCAAAGATGTATGGAGCAAGTATTCCGCCAATGCGAGCCGCAGTATTAGCCGCACCATAGCCCAAATTTCTAAAAAAATAGATAAAACAAAAACGTAAAAACAAGTATGTACCAAGCTAATAAATGATATTTGCTTCTTGCAGTTGTAGGACTGTAAGGTGGGGATACGCCCAGTCGCCTCTTACCTATCATGACCTGAAATTAACTTTGGGAAAGGCCGGCAGAATGTACAATACTATATGAGTTTGTTTGTTTGTTTGTTGTTTAACGCAACAATATTCCAGCTGTATGACGTCGGTCTGTAAATAATCGAATCTGGACCAGACAATCCAAGGATGGATTTTATGAGAATCGATCCACGCAATTTTGATACGATGACATGCATAATGTTCTTTTGTTGTGGTGGAAGGGAATACTTCCCATCACTACATTGATACATTTTTCGATAAGCCACCGTAATGTACTCTAACTTGAAACGTTGGTGGGAGATCCCATAATTCAATTTACCTTGTGACTGTCGGGTACGTCTCACTTGACAACAACTGCATAACATGCCAAGCTGCCCCAACACTCAGTTTGGTCACCATTGCAAAGACGTTGATGATGATCCCTTGGTCATCTTTGGCGACTACAACACGTGGACGGAACTGATAACTACATTGGACACGCAGAAAAAGAACACAATGGGTAGGGAATGGATAGTATTTATGGTGTTAGTACACTGCTGAAGAACCAGAAACCGTGCATTCAGAAAGGTTTTGAAAGAATACTTTTGTTGTTATTCATGAGAATAATGCAACAGGAAACACTATTTGGCTCGCTCCAATTTTACAGTATGTCATCGACAAGGACGTTGGTCTGTGATCATGCATACACTTAACTTGATCAAATTGTGAGCTACAGTTGAGTTTAAAATACCATTACTCTGTGTTTAAAGAGTTCACTGTGATTTGTCTTAGTAAGCTGAGATATGATTTACTTCAGAACCAACTCATCTGTCCTTCAGTTTGGGCGTTCAAAGTTAGCTGAAGGCTCAGCTGATGCGAACTTCGATGGAGTTAGATTTTTACGCTGAAGGGTGTGCTAACGGAGTAATAGGTTGTGTTACACACCTGTTCTAGCGACGATGCAAACACCAAAGGAACCAACAGTGGATGCAGCAAAGAAAATGAAAGCCGTCCATCTTCTGCCAAGTCTATAAATATATACGAAGAAGATGTCAATAAAGACAAAGGGATTAATATGTTCATCAAAAACTGTCCGGTACCACAATTATAAATCATGGTCTATGCAAAAATAACCTATGTCAATGAAAATCGTTATACATATATACATCATAGGGCGATGTCTTCTCACAGTAAGTCAATTTGTCTGTATTATTTTAAACTTTCCAAAGAGGCATTACTTCATATTTCTACGGGTGCTGTGTATGGTGTTAAGAGAGTAAAAACTTCAAACGGAAACTTCGAAGATTGTTTTGCAAAGTAGCATTATACAGCTTCAATGGTACTTTTAAAACACATTTTAGCAAAATGTTAATGAATGATGGTCGTGTGATGAGAAACATTAAATAATACAGCTTTTATTAAAAGGTTTACTTCGTGTATGAGTAAGTTCATCGAACATTGTTGTGAACGGTGTTTCAGAAATACCATGGTGAGCCTGCTAAATTATGGAAAAGCCATAAGTGATGCATGACCCAGATGTTTACCACTTTGGTGAAACCCAATAGCATCGGTATAGTGCAGACAACTCAACACTATAATCAGAGCAAAAATCAGATCCACTGATTCTGGCAGAGAATAAATCTTCACGGCAAACTGTGGGCCTCAGCAGTCTTGGAGGCCCCGAACCCGCACCCCCCATTATTTTTAACATATTACATTCTTCAATTCTTTGTGATAGATGCCCCTTACTTGTTGTTCATGAAGAACGTCACAATGCAAGCTGGGATCTCCACCACTGCCAGAAGGAAGATGTTCAGGTACAGGTTGCCGGCGAGTCTCCCTGCACCGAAAGATATCCCAAAGTACACCAGCGACATACAGATCCTGCAGGTCAAAATATTTAGTATTTCGTTTAATAAAACCTAACCGACAAAGCAACACATTTTCTTCATGTCAGAGGACACTTGCCCTCATCTTTAAATCAGAGTAAGGCAAGTAGGAAAGGATTGTACGGCACACACACTGCTAACACCCAAATGTAAATGAAATACTCACAACTTCATTTCATATGCAACATTAAAACATGCTATTAAAAATGAATTTGCATGCTATATAATTCGTATTATCACGACAAGGTTTCTTTTGTCTCTGTCCCTCTAGCCAACTAATGGTGGTTTGAGAACGTTCTTGCACGGTAGCTGTTGAACCTACATTTAAGTGGAAGTGTTCTGTAAAAATCATGATGCTTATGTTGAAGATGTGGCATTTAAGTTTTTCGACTATGTCTCTTTGAAAGATCAATCTCATATAAAGAAACTGGCCTATCATAAAACTGCTTCGAACAAAATTATGCCACACCACTACAAGTATTTGGAAATTTTGGCTCCATTTCAACATAATCAACGGCACCCCCCGTATCCGATCCACTTCTGTACTCACCATACGAACTGTATGACGAGAGACTTCCAGCAGATGCTCCAGCCCCTGTAGATGTCAAGGTACGTGTACCTGCTGCCAGATGCCCTCAGTTTCTTCTCCTCTTCTGCCACTTGTTTCAGCAGCTGCAGTGTGTTGGTGGGCTTCTGTCTTTTGTTGTATCGACTCATCTGATCCACGACCTTCTCAGCCTCGTCAGTCCGCCCCTTTACAGCCAACCAGCGCAGACTCTCTGGGACAAAGCTGGCAGCATTGATGGAATTATATGAGTTTAAATTAAACGGTTGGATAGACTTTGTAGCTAAATTTCGAAGATTATAATTTTGAACCCATATGGATGTGCATGGAGCGCTGAAGCCGTCCTTTTTCGAAAACAAAAACTGAAAATAACCAACCCTTAAGTCGTCTGACACCAAATGAGGATGAACATGTTTGATATTTTGGAAACAATGGAAACAAATATATGAAGAAGGATAAAGAAACAGGTAAACACTGATCAGAATTGTCGCAACCTGTGGACACATATTTCAAACTTAAGTAACAGTAGCAGATGACTATGAGACTGAGTTTTGAAAATCGTGCCAGAAACATTTGGATGCTCTCGAAGGGTGATACTCAACGTCAGGTTTCAGTACATGTTAACATAAATGAGCTTGGGATTTGGTTACGAAAACCCGTGGTACTCCTGCACATACTCAAGGCCCTGGTCCTCCAAGGGATCGTCCACAACGGATAGGCAGGCTGGCTGCATTGTTGACCTTGGCATGCACAACAGGTTTCTAAAGTCATGCAAGTGTCGCCTGCAGCCTTATTTCATCGTTGATCCATATCAAGGCTGCTTCTCCAATGTGTAAATATAAGTAGTTGTACGTCATGGTTGTTGTAAATTAAATTGTCACCTGTCAGCATGGTATATTCGCCGACAATAATCACACTTCTATTCATCCTCCTGCTGACACAGTTCCTGCAGTCTTGCCAAGGATTCCGAATTCCGTGCTTCGTTTGTGTTAGGTGGATCCCTAGAGGACAATCAGACCCATCCAAAGTCAGCTCCCTTGCACTCATCACCAGATGTTGTGCAAACTCCATTAGTAGCAGCTACATCGCCTGATAAAATCTCTCATACAGGTTATGTTCATGATTATTCGACCTCAAAGTCGTATCCTAGTGAACCCGAAGAACCTGTGGATGCTGCAGCTTCACCTCCAGCTCTGGCCGAAAATGAGAGTCCATGGTCGGCTTGGTCTACCCGAAGAAGGACATGAGGAGTGAACAGTGAAGAGTGGATTACCAACTTTGTTGTTAAAGTGAACAAGGCAGCTGAAGTCTTTGTCTAATATCATTTGCATTTTGTACATAGTTTTATTCAGCAGGTGCAGTTTGTATGTGTTGCTAAAGTTATTGAATGCCTGTGTTTTCTTTCCATTATATAAGCATTCAATGATATTAGCATCACTGAAACCTATTCGCGGGCTTTTACATGTGATTTCATGAAACAATCGATCACGTATAATGTAAGCATTGTGATAATCCCTATTACAGACTTAATCATTGCACTAATACAGCACGTAAGACCGTGTGAAAAGAATAATACTATGTGTATAAATGTTATTTAGCATAATATAATATTATACCAAAACCACTATTTTATAGATCACTGACCTCGCGCTATATGTGTGACGTCAGTATATTACTTTTAACTCCATCTCTGAATTACTTTTAACTCCATCTCTGACAACGAGAAGCCTGACCCTGCCACATCAGTTGAAGGATGACCACTTGAATGCCACCACATCGGTGTTGGAATGCCTTAGTGACCTGTTCTTAGATTCAATTTCACCGTCTTTTATAAACATAGTGTTTCCCTAGGCATGTTAAGCAGGGCGCAGTGCCCTCTTTTAGTTAGCGCCCTGCCCTTCTTGAGGCCTGCCCTGCCTTTTCTGACATTTGCCTTTTGTCTGTTTTCAAATAGGTTACAAGAGCAGAAATGTCCACAAATGCAACATTTTTTTCCTAAATTATCTTTTGGCTCATGCTGCTTTATTAAAAAACTTTTCATTAAAAGTTTCTTTTTGCAAGCAGTTTCATTTGAAGACCAAATTTGTTCGCCAACTGATCCCGAAACCCCTACAGTGTCCGAAAATAGCAGAGATAGTTTTCAAAGGAAAATGCAGGCCACAAATTGGCATTTGATTCCAAAAAGGATCTCTTCTCTGAGGATGCTGATACCTGCTCATATTCAGCCATGCTCAAAACATTGACAAGCCTCAAGCAACTGGGTTAACTTGTATCAATGAATTGTTAACCTGCTGAATGTCTTTGCTACTGTCATCCATGTCTACAATGGAAGAGTGTTCTCAAGAGTGAAGCCCATTGTTACAGAACACAGAAACAGACTAAGTGTGAAGAACTGCGACTAGCTCTTGATGATCAGACACTCATGAAGAGCAACCTCCACGTAGTGAGTGCTGGGTAACGTTAATCGCTCTTCCCCCATGTGGACCCGGGGTAGAATATGTCCTCAGCACCCCATTGCTTGTCCTACGAGGCGACTAAATTGGGCAACTTGTTTGCGCCCCTGTTTCGTCGGAGGACGGGAGTCTGGTAGTTGAGGGCACTGGTTCCAGGAACATCGTTCATTTGCCCAACACACTACTTTGACCCTTACTTCGCCTAGACGGGTGGTAAAATGGGCCCAGTTCTATCAATCGGCTGGTCATGCCAAGCCCTGTGCATTGATTGCATTTGCACAAATTGTAATTTTTACTTGTCTATACATTTTAGGTCTTGGCTAAAATTGATTATAAAACACCATTTGATTTTGAACTACATGTATCATTTGCATTGCCTACAGTCCTATGTCCAATCTGGTGGATTGATTAATTTTTAATTAGTCTGCTTGAGTATACCATCTCAGTTTCCTTGGTGCTGCCAGCTGGAGATCCACTGGTATTTGGCATTGTCTTTATGATACTCTGTGGTGGTGAGGAGCTGGGATGGTGAACCTTCTATTATTAACCATGGCTCAACCAAAAAAACACAAAGGAGCATTGCATGAATGTTTGTCCTCTAATGAAGACAATACATCAAACAGATTTTCTCATTGTTTGAGTAGATTTTTGGTGGTATAACTGATGGTGAACCACTAAAACTGAACACGTTTACAACATCAAATGCAATTTATGATATCGATCGTTGGTGATGTGCAAACTGTTAAGAATATTTTGTCTGGCTTACTTCTCATAGAGTGTAAAACAGCAAAGCAATTTGCAATATGCTATTAGCCACAAAACAACTCGTCAATACCAAAGTTTCGGTTTCACCACACAAGTCTCTGAACAGTAGTGAAGGCATCATTAGATACAGGGACCATTGGCTCTCTGATATGAGTGAAACAGAACTTGATGCAGTGTAACGAACGTCAAACGTTTTACATCAAAGAGAAATGGTGAAACTGTAAAACCAAATACCGACTTACTTTCTTTTCCACAGCCCAAACACCCTTAATCAATCAAAGCTCGATATCGAAGTGGAACAATATATTCCTAATCCACATCGCTGTTTCAAAACGTTTGGCCATGGTGCCCAGTCTTGTGGAAATCATACGACATGCTTTCGATGTGGTGCAGCTGCCCACGACGGTACGGATTGCCTGACATCTCTAAAATGTGTCAATTGGTTTGGAGAGCATATGTCTACATCGACGTCCCATCTGGAAGCATGACTATGAGATTGCCAAACTCAAACTTCAACGCAATATAACATATCATGAAGCAAAACTTGTAGTAAAAGCAACCTCCCTCAATCAGCCGGTATGTCATACTCTGCAGTTGTTTCCTGCCCTTTAACCGAATCAGTAAAATCTGTTACATGTCAGACCGATATCACCTGAGTAAGTACAGAGACAGTAAATGCCTGTCAGAAAGTCGATTACTTGAAACAATCTGAACGAGTCCCCAAGGGTTTACGTGACCCTGTGCAGCTATACAATAAATTCCAGTTACTGGAAGACGGATGTTTCCCCTCATCCCCCTGCGCACAACAGAAGTAAGTCACCTCGGACAGGGAAAATCCCCTGTACTTCCACTTCCTATAACATGAATAATGCTGACTACCTAATTCATTGGAATTGCAGGGGTATAAGGATCAATCTTACTGAAATTCAATTATTGGTACAAGATTTTAAAACATCAGAAATTTGTCTTCAGGAGACATATCTAAAACAATCAAATTATACATTTGACGTCCGTCAGTATTGTTCATATAATTCATTTTCTCCTCAGGGTGTTAAAGCCACCTGAGGATTTTCCATCCTGGTGCGCCAGGATGTGATTCACAGTATTGTGTCTCTTAATACCAATCTCCAAGCTATTGCAGTACGACTCACTTTGCACGTTGCATCTACTCTGTGCACTCTATATAAGTGAGTAGAATTAGTCGTGGGTATGCCAATGGCTTAGACTATTTCCATGTAAATTGTTACAATAAACTTGTTATATTTTTTGCATTAAAGTTTTGTGAACTTTATATTGTTGTGTCATTGCTTGGTCACAATGATATAATTTTCCATAAATAAAACATAGGCATGTTTACTGGCGGCGCTGTAAACGTTTTAAAGATGCTGCTGTGGTGCAATTTGGTGGCATTGACTTGTGCCATATATTCTCGTGTTTTCCCTGTGTTGTCTTGCCTTGCATGTGTTTCTAACGTGTGCCACCTGTAGTGCAAACATCTGGTGTCATCCCTGTTTGATAGTGATTCATAAACGCATGTTCATGAAGTATTCCGAGTTCGTGCAACGGACTTCGCTTTTTGCAGAGATATCATATGTATATGGGAGGGGTTTATCACTTTTATTTGCACAAGGGACTGAATCTCTGTTGGTAACCATTAGATAAAATGCCTTTACTATATTTTCAATATTTATGATGCAAGATCTAAGAGAAACTTTTAGAATTTAAATATTGGCAATCACTACAATAAATGTTATTATTTGAATTTCTCAGGCTTAATTTTGGGATACTTACAACCAACCCGCAAAGAAGGGCAGATGAAGGGCAGCCGCTATGATGTGTTGACGAGACCAGTCAGGCCTTAACCAGCTGGACAGGGCAAATGCACATACACCTGTTCCAAAGACAGGCAATGATGAGGCAATTGGTCGCCATTTTCTTCCTACGAACTCAATGAAATACGGGTAGTTTACCACCGTCAGAGAGCCAATCATCATCCCGATGAGAAAACGCAACGCTGTAAACATCTGCCAGTTGACGGAGAACGCTGCCATCAGGTTGGACCCACCATGAAGGACCAGACACACGAAGTAAGTCCGCTTCCGACCGAGGACATCAGCAGCCTGTCCGCCTGTCAATGCCCCGAAAAACACTCCAGCCATTTGCACTGACGTGATAATGTTCTTGAGAATATTCTGGTCACATATGAGATCCCACTGCAAGAGAGAATTTGGAATTGTTGTAATTTGTAATGGGGATAATATGGCAGTATTTAGTTGTTCAACTGTACCAAGGTACAAACACCCATTTCGTTGTCATGTGTAGCTTTGTGGTATACATTTACACAAACAGATGGTGTAAAGTTCATTTGATTATGTAGCTAGGCTTAGTATGGGCGGTATACGCATAAGAACTAAATTGGTGGCCAAAAGATATGAATGTCATCACTAAAAAAGTAACAGTTATATCAGGCTGAGTATATTTGGTATGATAACCAATGGTACAAAACAATGATATGATAAACAAGACGAAAAGACGGGCCGTACTTCAACTCTTCACAAGAGTCTCATGGTAACAGTTTGTCAGCTCACCCGATGACCCAACACATTTTCAAATGGTGACGTCAGTAAGTGATTACGGAGATGCAGTGATCTCAGATATAGGTCGTCATGGGGCGTTAGGATACACAGACTACCCATTCCTGTGGCAACAAGGTGCGGGGTACACAAGGGTGGGTTGCTCCTACACCTTAGATGTTACACGGTTGCAATAAGTAAATTAAAAGGGACTGAATTATGGTTACCTACCTCGCTGACGACAGTGTTTTTATCCTGGCTGTACACAACCTGACAGGTTATGTTGTCCGAGGTGGGACAAAATTTGAATGTCACGTTGTTCATGTCATATGTCTCATCAACAGATGGCGCTGTTGCGGGGACACACCACCAATCTGGGGTAGTCCCCGCAAACGACATCATCAACATCCCCCAAGCCACCAACATCTTTGGACCGAATATGAAGACAACCATGAGGATCTGGAAGCGGGACATGCCCCCGACGGCCTCGATGATGTCGTCCATGTGCATTCTTGTTATCGTAGCATCTACACTGTTTGCATAGGAACAAGGGGGTAGTCATGCGTTGATTTAAAAAGGTGCAGCACGAGGTTCATGGTGTTGTAGGACCTTTACGTGCATTATTAGGTCAAATACGTTTTTGGAATTCAGAAACAATTTTGCAGTATTTTTGAAGCATTAAAAACAAATATTACTCACCTTTATACAACACACGGAGAAAATATACAGTTTTGTTAACAGTGAACCTCCAATCTGCAATCAAAACGTCAGAATAAGCCTTGAATCAAGCAATCATAACAAGATCTACAGGTTTTGTGTTGGACAAGCATAGTCAGAGTGAATCGTGATCACGTGTCTCAATCGCATACTTACCTTAAGGCTAATTTAACAACCGTAATAACCGTTTGCAACAGAAGCTAAAACTGACACAAATTTTGAAACGTGCTTGGCAATATGAGCTAATAGCTGTGCTCTTAACCTTCATTCAGACCTGCTGCGGTGTGTGAGAAGGTCAGCGTGTCATAATGACAGTGTTCTCTTGTGTACTCCCCAGGCTCAGATGTCCTTTATACATCGCTTTGAATTTAACAGTGTGTGCGTTGTCAAGACGGTTCTGTCCACAGACAGACAGACCCCAGGGCTGACGTTTTGTGAGGTGAAATAGGGTTCAACGTCGCGTTCATTGCACTTATATAGCGACGTGCATGTCAATAACTACTGCCTCTAGATTCTAAAATACAGCAATACCACTCACTTCATTGTACATTATGTTGTGATAGTGTTATAATGTACTGGACCGCAAAAGAAACGTCACCATGGATAGATACATTAGAAACCTTATTTGTCCAAACACTGTAAACATACTTTGAGACATATTAAAAGATGAAACTGATCATCAAGGTTGAAATTAAACTGTGAGATGTTCTTAAAGTTAAACACTTAACTAATTTCTGAGAAAATGGCATCACAAATCAGTTTCTCTTGTGTCCGCCATGTGCAATGATGAGTGAGTGAGTGAGTGAGTTAAGATTTACAGTCACATCGGCAGTATTTCAGCCATATCATGACTACAACAATTTAAACATAAATACCAAATATGTGTAAACTTTCTAAAATACCTTATAGCAAAGGACAGTAAAATAACTAGAGTATCACAGACATATTTAAAACTAGTATGGGACAATAAAACGATATTACGATACATAACAATATATGATAAAAACGAGCTAGAGATCGCCAGCATCCAAAGGTAGGCCACCATACTAGGGACTGTGGGGACTTACAATACTTCTGCTTCCTTCACGGCTCCCCAGCAGGATTTACACCATGCCTTCAGCCACTAGCGAGTATAGTCAACTTTAGCTATCAATTAAAAATAACAAATATTCTACGATTAAAAATGGGGTAGACCCAGATGTACTTTGAATGATGTGGAACTTACGTACTCTTTCGGGGGGACAATGATTTTATGTGCACTGATGACTGCCGTGCAACGTCGATACACGGAATGGATGAGGCTGTTGATGAAGGCCAGAGGCACATGAGCCGACACTCTGAGGAACGCCTTGCGCAGTTCAGCTGCGGTTGTCAGCCTTGGTCGGACGTCATTCAGCCGTCTTTGAATCTCGTCCCACGGGTGCTCAATGGAATTTAATTGGGACTAAGGACAGGCCACTGCATGGTTCTGATGCCATTCTGCAAGAGAAAGTCTCTTGTTGATCTCACAGTGTGGGAACGGGTGTTATCATGCTGAAACCTGTGGTTGCGGTGACGTCCCAGATGAGGTTTGGCGTGTGGTCTCAAGACTCGATCAGTGTACCGAGCTGCTGTGACAACATTGCCTTTCCCTAGGCCGATGTTCTGGAAGACCACAGGGCCGACCCTCTGTGCAAGACCAATTCCACCCCACACCATGATGCTCGGATCAGCCTACGAGTCTCTCTCAACAACACAAGCATGTGAATAACGTTCCCCACAGCTTCGCCAGACTCTCTCTCTCTGCCATCTGCTGTTGAGATACTCGTCTGAGAAGAGGACTCATCTCCACTGCTGGTTGCGCCAATGCTGGTGCTGTGATGCCCGCTGAAGACGGAAGATGTTGTGTCAGAATGGGTCCTCGGTGTGGCCTGTGACAGTGGAGGTGTCTACTCGGCAATCGTCCATGGACAATGTCCGCACTAATGTGTCGCTGGTATGTCCCCATGATCTGTCGAGTGGTTTCCGCAGCAGTAACAAAGCGATCTTGAAGATGCTGTCGCACAATCTGACGATCCTGACGTCGCGTGATTACCCTTGGTCTTCCACTACGTGGTCGGTCATCTGTAGTGCTGGTGGTCTGGTCCCGTTGCTGGAGCCTGTATATGGTCCTTACGTGGACTTGAAATGCATTGGCTACTTGCCGGGTGTTTTGTCCAGCTTGCAATAGTGCAAGGGCTTGGTGTCGCTGATTTCTTGTCAGTCTTGGCATGTGGTAGCAATTCAATAACGAATGAATGTTATCCGATCTGGGTGGATTTTTATAGGGCAAGAAATGGGGGAATGCATATGCATTTCAATTTGAACGGAACTCACGTACATCGGGTTACCGTGGCCGTTGCCGTGATGTGTACTTTGTTTTTGTTTTTTTAAATTTCATGTTTCCGGACAAGGAAATGTTAAATTTTAGAAACTTTGACAAAAAATGCCCGGCTATCTAAATGACAACTTTTCATGCAATGTTACTTTGGATGACGTTTCTTTTGCGGTACAGTATATTTACAGTATATTACAGTCCTACCTACTTTGTTTGATGGAAGTGCATTTGATAATATGTACAAGCAACATTGATCAATATCGAATGCACCCTATTATATTCCTAAATTATGGTAGCGTACAAACTGTGTACATGTCATAGTCATTGTATAGTTGAGGAAATACAAAATGTCAGATATGTACATACACCACCAGAAACTGGTTGTTCTGACTACTTTTTTTCCATGCTACAACTTTAATAATGTTCATTCATGCGAACCATAATTTCACGTAATTCAGTTTACAGACAATGCATGTCTTCCAGGAAGAAATGCACTCTTCTGCACTTACAACGGTTGGCGATTTGCAAAGGACATCAAGTAATGGCTATACGCCGTAACACGATGCTGGCATCATTCACGAATATGGAAATCTTAATAAATCCCCGGTGTGTGTCACATCATCTTGTGCAGCACTGTGATGACCCGGTGCCACAGGCCAAGAAGGAGGAGCACTACCATGTAAGGGATGAGTAGAGAGTACAGATTATTGGTCAGTGTGATCAGAAGCAGGAGAAGACACAGCTGTAGGAGCACGTGGTGAGTGGGGTATGTAAGAGCAGAATTATTAGACAGTGAACATTGAACATTGTCAAGAACATTGCTGACACAGAACCATGACACACACAGAGATGCTTTCATTCAAGTAGGTTTCGCCAATTTTCGCTTTTGCTGAATCATGCAACGTTCCAGTGTTGGTTTTACCCCTCAACAACCTTTTACCTATTGTAAAGTTGAATGGCAGTCACCTGGTGACGGAGCTGAGTATCATTCATATCATTCAAATTAAAAAAGCCTGAATACCAATTGTCATTTCTGTATCGTCAACAACATATAAATAGAACTACTAGATCTTACACAAAACAAAATGTCACTTTCATAACTAGACTCAGAGGAGTGACTTCTGCCTACAACAATAATCCAGATATATGACAACGTGTCAGCTTAATGTGGGAGGAAAGCCCGAGGTGATGCAGGTCTTAGTCGTTTACCGCAAGTTGACCAACCTAGAAACATAATCAGGGCAAACCGAGATTCAAACCCAGGATCTTAGGTTCCTGGCGTGTCCAAGGCACACAACTCTCCACCACGAATTGCGTTCTTTGCCCCCTTTGGTACGAAGGAGGATATTTCTATATAGTTGATAAGAATGTCTGACGTCTTACAGTCAGTACATAGCCTCACGGAAGTGGCTCAAAGGACTTTATTGAACAATGAACATACAATTGCAAATATGTATAGAGTGATCATGCCGCCAACTCGGGCTGCTTTATTAGCTGCTCCGTAACCCAAATTTCTGTAGAAAATGCCAACAAAACATTGAAAATACTTTACCACAATTTTGGCAAATATTAAGGGCTGTTAGATAGCTGAACTTTACCGTTACAAATCAACGCCTGTTTATTGCAATGATTACAACACTAAAAGCAGCGGAAGAGGCAACAGCAAAGAAACCAGCAGCTGTCCATTTTCTACCAAATCTACAAAACAATAGCATTGGGGTTGAGGAGTGAACGAGAAATAGTTTTATCTTGTGATGATACCCGTGGGAATTCAGATTTAGGTGTGTGAGAGAGTTGGGTTTAATACCACTTTGAACAGTGTTCATGTTATATCACAGCGTGTCAGCTTGATGTTGAAGGAAAGTCTGAATTGATGCAGGTCAGAAACTCATGAACACGGAGATGGTTCTGACAAACCTAGAAAAATATCCAGGGCGAAACGGGATTCGAACCCATGATCATAGGGTTCTGGCGTGCCCAGTGAGCGCAACTCTGCACAGCGAATTGTGGCGCCTCACACGACAGGCAACCCATTTCCACGAGTCAGGTTCAGAATACATGGCCAACAACTTGTGTTTGTCTGACAAAGCGACTCATGGATCGGGTGGTCAGGCTTCTTGAATTGGTTAACAGGAAGTCTTCGCACTCGACGGTGTGGACCATTGCCCATAATATCAGTCACTGAGTCATCCGGGCCAGGATCGATGTACAGGCCATATTAAGCTGGAATAATACTGAATATTGCGTTAAATAACATGCAAACAAATACACCTAGATATGAGATTACTTGTTGTTTGTGAAGAAAGTTAACACAGTAGTTGGCACTTCCACCACTGCCAGAAGGAAGATGTTCAGATACAGGTTGCCTGCGAGTCTCCCTGCACCGAACGAAATCCCATAGTACATCAGCGACAGTCACGCCCTGAAAAATATTTTAACATTTTCACAACGCTCAAGTTTAATAAATATTGTTTTCGTTAATCAAGACATATATTTTTTATGAAGAGGATACACACACCTCGAATATTGAAAGTGTACTCTCGGATGAATATACTGGTACTTATTTTGTTAAGTCTGTTACTGATGATATATTTAATGCCCCTATCAGCAGTGAGGAAATACAAGAGAATATTCCTTGAAATGTAATAAAGCAGCTGGAACAGATTATATAATTAGTAAAATGTTTCAATGTTCAGATAATATTCTTATTCCATATGTACTTGTATTGTGCAATTATCTACATGATAAAGGTTTTTCCCTTTCAAAAACAATCATTGTTCCATCGCATAAAAAGGGTGATAAGGATAATGTTGATAACTATCGGGGGATATCTGTGCTGAGCTGATTTGGAAAATTATATACCATGATTCTTAATTGCAGATTAACGTTTTGGTCAGATGCAATGGGAAACATTTATGGAGAACAGGCAGGATTTAGAGCTGGATATTACACAATGGACAATATTTTCATTTTACAAGCTATAATTACAAAATATCTCACAGTAGGGGAGGAAAGTTATATGCATGTTTTGTCGATTTCGCTTATTTGGTAAACATGGCTGGGCATCAAAGATTGAAAAATCATTCACAGCCATTTACAAATCAGTTAAAGCCCGTACGAACCAATAGCAATAACCTTACAAGTATTTTTTATTGCCCTTTTGGGGTGTATCAGGGTTGTGTACTAAGCCCATTCTTGTTCTCTTTTTTCATAAATGTACTTGTTCATGAAATTAACTCAAAATCTAAAAATGGCATCCAGTTTTATCCAGATCAAATAGAAATATTCCTTATTCCTTTGGCTGACGATGGTGTCCATTTCTCTGATTCAGCAACTGGTCTTCAACGTCAAATCAATATTTTGGAAACAAATTGTGACAAGAGGTCACTGTCTGTCAATCAAAATAAAACTAAAGTTCTTGTTTCTAAAAGCGGTGGGAAATTATCCTATATTGAGGTAGTTTCATCTTACCTTGGAATATTGTTTACTGGGACTTTGAGTTGGACTGGTGAAGAAAGTTTTGATGTCGATCCTACAAAGTTTGTTAAAATATGATAGTCTGCCCTGTAATTTATACTTTCAACTTTTTGATCCTGCATCACAAATTTAATTTATACTTTCAATTTTTTTATCCTCCACCCCAAATGGTATATTGTACTTGGTGAATGTGGCAGATTCCAATTGTATAAATTTTCACTTAAGTGCTGTATAAATTATTGGTTAAAACTACCGACTCTTCCATCCACGCTATACCCAGTAAACGCATATACGTATAACATGCTACCCTATCTCGATCACAATGCAAGTCAATCGCAGTAAAAATAGTTGGGCAACAAATATCAAAATCACCCTTTGATATGCATGGATGGACCAGCGTGTTGGAAATGTCAAGATGTTTATGTCATTATTAATCCAGAGAGCTAAAGATTGTTTTCAGCAAATGTGAATAGAAAAACTAAAAAATAGAAAATGTCAGACAGACAGACAAATGTCTTCGGTACTTCAGGCCTACGGAACATAATACAATGGAAATGTACTGTATATATATATGCATGCTGAGTAGATATAATAATGATTCACCGTTCAACACTGTTTCCGTTCAATGTTCATGACTTGGGAGAGAAATTTACCGAAGCCTTTAACAATTTGTTCATTTTCAGCTGACATTAATCTTATAAAATTCTCAATAGAGGGAGGGGTAACGAGACGCCGGGGAAAAGAGTTTCTTCTTGCTCTAGAATACTGGTCACAAATCATAAGAACATGGAATTCATCTTCTACATGGTTATGTCCCTTTGAAAAACAGAAAGTGCAGACACGTTCATTATATGGGGTGTTGTTGTGACGCCCAAGTTCAACAGCAAGTCTGAAATTATTACACCGGAACATGGCTATAAGTCAACGTTGGTAAGAAGTAATTTCACAAGTAACATATGACTCCACATTTAGTAATGAGTTTAACTGTGACTAGTAATTGGATTTCCGTTGATGATGTCAGGGAAAAATGCCAATATTTAGTGAGGCAGTCGTAAAATCTTCGTTTAAGATCTCTCATAAAATGTTGAATATTTCCAATGTCTTGGCTTAGCCAAACAAAACCAAATCCAAACTGGAATAAAATCATTCTAATATGTGATGCCCATGTAATTTATTATTATCATCAAGAAATTTTAGTACATAATAAGCTTGGATGGGTAGCCTGTGTGGTTCCATCTGAATTAGTCTGCACAAGTACTTATATAGAAATAGAATATGACCATATATATATTCTCTCTTCAAACAACAATTAATACTCAAAGTATATCTAATATCTGTTACAATAAAAAAAAGTCGAGTCTCGCTAGCGCAATTCAGAGCAGGTTATTGTGACTTAAAGATCTTATCCAAATATCAATTTGTTTCGCATACTCATGTTAACCTCAAATATTACATTATTGCAAAATATTGCAATTGTACATAACACATGCATTGTAAGTTAGAAGAAACACGCATGCCTTGTAAATATGTTGAACTATGAGCTAATGGCCTCTCAGTGTGTCATGAATAAACTTTTTTGACTCAAGATAGCCAAAATATAATTTTATAAATCTAGTTGGAGAACTGTAATTCCTATGTTGAAAATTAACAAACAACATATCTTATGCCCTTCTCGCTCCATCTTAAAACTAACAATCGATTATCCAGAAATCTGAGTTGCCCAAATTTTCTGAGTAGTGTCCCTTTTTTGTGGCAGGATCTGTGGACCTGAGCTTCTATATCCAGATTAACTCTATTTACGGCCCTGGGTTTGTCAGCAACAAAACCCACTAACTATACTAACCATTCGAACTGCATGATGAGAGACTTCCAGCAGACGCTCCATCCCCTGTAGATGTCAAGGTACGTGTACTTGCTGCCAGACGCCCTCAGTTTCTGCTCCTCTTCTGCCACTTGTTTCAGCAGCTGCAGTGTGTTTGTGGGCTTCCCTCTTTTGTTGTATCGACTCATCTGATCCACGACCTTCTCAGCCTCATCAGTCCGCCCTTTTACAGCCAACCAGCGCATACTCTCTGGGACAAAGCTGGCAGTGTCCAATAGTTAGGGAATAGGGAGGTGAAAACCATTAACAATGGCTTTGTATTTTATTTCCAAATTCGCTAATTTTGATGAACTTGAGATACCCCTAATTCAACAATGCAACACAAGTATATTAGAGCCAGTGGTGATTCGGAGAGAGGGGCCCTTGCATGCTATGTTTATAAATGTGGTTTAGTTGCGTTCAAGGTTATTATACTTATACGGTGACATGCATGCACTAATTAATGGGCTTTTTGGTGAGATTGTGACACCTTCACCTCTTCGCATGCCTCTTACAAGTAACATCAGCCTTTCACAGACGTGCAAGTGAAATATTAAAGAAAGAAGACAACGTGTGTGTGTGTGTGTGTGTGTGTGTGTGTGTGTGTGTGTGTGTGTGCGTGCGTGCGTGCGTGCGTGTGTGTGTGTGTGTGTGTGTGTGTGTGCGTACGTGTGCGTGTGTTTTCGTGCGTGCCTGCGTGCATGTACGTGTGGCTGCTTGTTCAGGTCCAAACTAATGTTTAATCGTCCTAGTCCCCTAGCCAAATGCAATGAGATACAATGCCAATGTTCAACATAGTTACTCCACTAAGGCAAAATATGCAAACTCCGAGCCGACTGATCCTTGTTTGTATCCCCTTTATGCTGAGCGCCAGGCAGGGTAACAACAATTACCATCGTGTAACTTCTTATGCTATGACGCTGCAGGGAACCACTGACCTTCCGCTCTATCCACTAGACCATGAAAGCGATCTAAACGGACTGCTCAAGAACTGCTTTGTGTAGTTAAGTTGTAATCACTTACTGGCCATTGTCATATAGGTGGTATTTTGCTGAATGTGGCTTTAAATGATCGGACTATATTCGTATGTCCTGAAAGTATCATAGTCAGTTCAAAAAGTGTAAGCTCATGCAAAAATTCATCTGTTTTATAGTGTAGGACTATCATGTTGACATATTTGGATACTAATGATGAAACATTTCATCAAAGGCTTAGCAGTCAACCTTTCGTGGGTTGGATGGAGGCCCTGACAATTTCTCACTCTCGACTTGAGATACTTACAACCATCCCGTGAAGAAGCGCAGATGAAGGGCAGCCAATGTGATGTGTTGATGAGACCAGTCAGGCCTCAACCATCTCGACAGGGCAAATGCACATACACCTGTTAGCCAGACTGGAATTGCAAGTGGTCGCCATTTTCTTCCAACGAACTCACGGAGGTATGGGTAGCTTACAACTAGAAGAGAGCCAATCATCATCCCGATGAGAAAACGCAACACTTTAAACATCTGCCAGTTGACGGAGAATGCTGCCACCAGATTGAATCCACTTTGAAGGACCAGACAGACGAAGTAAGTCCACTTCCGACCGAGGACGTCAGCATACTGTCTGCCAAGCAATGCCTCAACAAAGACTCCACCCATTTGTACTGATGTGACGAGAGGATTGAGCATTTTGCGGTTACAAATGAAACCCCACTGAAAGAAGAAATCATTGCATATCTGTTAGTTTAAGGTCGCACTCCACTCCAGGTTCAAACACGCCAGTCTTTAAATAATCGAGTATGGACGAGAAAAACCAGTGATAGCAATAGAGCATACTTCATGCGTTTTCATACAAAACACATTAAATACCAATTTTAAAATACCATTCTATGCAATCGGAACGAGCGACAGTCATTCCCAGATGCCGGATAAGAGAAGGTCCCTAGTCCACCCATGCTTGTCGAAACTGTGAATGGACGCCGTTTCAACAGTATCTTTGTTATATCATGGTGTGTCAGCTTAAAGTTGGAGGAAAGACCGAAGTGATGCTGGTCTCAGACATTTACCATTTTGGTTAAATCCACAAACTTGTCAGAAAAGAGGTCATAATCATTTGGTCATCATACTCTGTGACTCAGTTGATTTGTCATGTCATCGTACAAGGGCTGTGTGGGGCGTTGCTCATAATATCAATCATAATGCTAAGAGTTGGCAAACGTAACTGTGATCTGAAGGATCTATATATAACTGAACATGCCTGAGGTTTTGATTACATAAATATTTCACTGTGGACACAACAATCCAATTGTCGAGACAGCCGAAGGTAGTTTGACATTGGTTTTCAGCATTGTTGTGTACCTCACACCTAAAATGTCTTTCCCTTTCATATTAAACTTTGACGTCCCTTATTAGGATAAATAAGTTTTAGGAATGCAGAATTCACACTTGTAATATTCTCCATGGCAAACTTTACTTAAGGATTAATATACAACTGTACATGCCTGACGTATTTATGGCATTGATTTATAACTGTGTGCACAGTCATTTGTGTAAATATAAACGTCTGCACCAGAGATCAACCAGTCTTGAATAACCGTCGAAAAATATTCGGTCTTAAAAGGCAAAATAGCTGAGGAAACTATTTGACACCAGGTGTTCGCGAAAAGGGTAAGCATTTTCGCCCTGGCGGTAGCATCCGCCGTTCACTCAATGTGCGTGAAGAAATATGCGTCAGAGGCGACACAGAAGAACTCCAACCAGCGGCCTGTAAAATTCTATCAAAATAAGAATTGATATTAATTCTAACTAAATACGGTACGGTTTACATTAATGGTAATATGTGCGTCTAAATAGCATCAAAATGAAACACAAAGATCACGATCGCAATTATATAGCTTTTGTGTAAACCGTATGTCCTTGATTAAGAGTCGGGCGAGTGGTAGAAGTTTTGCAATTATGAAAGAAGCGGCAGGCCTTTTATTATGTAGGGGCCGGTTCAAAACACCGGTCCCCAATAAGAACCAACCAAACAAAAGCCTTGGATCAAGCGATCAGAACAACACCTCAATCTAAATTCACGGTTTTCATGTTGGACAATCCCTATCCCTATCTCTATCCCTATAATTTCATGACACAAACTGTAAAACATACTCCGCCTTGTCAACAGCGTTCTTCTCTGTCACGCCCTTCCCTGTTTCAAATGGCTCACATACATAGCTTTGAATGTAACACAGTGTGTGTCACAACAGTTCTATCTTTAGATCGTTATGCAGATGTGTTATGGGTGTTATGTGGCTCAACCTTCATATATACTAGTATAATCATTATCAAGAACCCTTATCTTATTTGAATGGAGATTACATGTAGGTATTTTTTCAGCTACATTTACATAACCAGATACTGTGTTTCTAATTATAACTATGAGCCTAAATATAAACACTTTGCAACAATGATCTTTTTGTGACAGATTATCTTATTTTCTTTCAACAGTCTGAAGCATAAATAATTTATTAAAGCATTTTGTGGGACAATGTATTTTTTCACTGAAATTCGAGGCTCATTCCGGAATATCAAATGGTCGGTCGCCAACATGTAAATGTGTATCTCATGTTTACAGTATCTGGCTAATATGTACTTATTCATGTTTCTTGTGGTTGCCCATCAACCGATATCACAGAGACAGCACACCAATGATACCTGGCTAACATGTCACCGATGCGAATTATGAAAAAAACCAGATGTTTAATATTGCGTGAAACGACACACCCACTTGAGGTACGATGACAAGTACAATCAAGCTAGGCATCAACCACATGAGCGACAAACATTTGGATGCTGCAGCTGGGGACCAATGACCCCCTCCCCCGACATTATGAGTAGAAAGTTTTGTCAGGATCCGATTCGCATTTTTATGATAAATCTTCAGAGGTTTTATTGACTTTTATCTGGCTATGGAGCCATTTGTGGTATCCAAAGTTTGTCATTCAAGTTGGTACGAAGTTTGACGGCCTTTGTTGATCTTGATTATGTACGGTTATCAAGAAGCATCTCTTCACACTGGGTTGTGTGCACGTTGTCTGTCACTTTTCGAAACTTAAACACCGCCACCTTGCGGGTTATTTATAGTCAGGGTCGGGCTTTAACACACCCGGATCGTACAAAGGAATCTGCTTTAACAGATGATTATGATTATGGAATGGGTGTTGTCGTATATATTCATGTGGGGTTTTAACGCGTGTATGAAGATTACCATTTCTTGGGTGACAAAACACCTAGTTACAGACTGATTACTGTTTTAGAAAAGTGAACTGGAGAATTTGATGGCTGAGGGGAACCAGCGTCAACAAAGGAAATATTCAATGATATCAAATAAAAGCGACAAGACTCTTTCCATATTCATAAGATATCTCTGCTGAAAGAAGAGTAAATTGTACGATTCTGACTATTTCAGCTGCGTTAAGCACAAAAGATGGGACTTCAGTCTGGTCGTTCTGAAGATACGATGTCTCTGAACGTGCACGTTAATGATATATGCCAATACCCCAAGAAACAGATTGTTCTGACAATGCATGTCTTCCAGGATAAATGCTCTGAAAACGGTTGGCGATTTGCAAAGGACATCAAGTAATGGCTTTAACCCGTATCACGATACTGGCACTGTTAACGCACAAGGATTTTTTTATAAATCTCTGGTTTGTGTCACATCGTCTTGTTAAGCACTGTGATGACCAAACACGTGGCAAAGATCAAGTCGGTTTCACACATTTTTGTCATCGCTGAATCATGAAAAGATTTTAACCCTAAAACAAGATGTATTTTGCCATCAACAGATACACACACGAATAAATCTCCCCAGGCTTCAACGCTTGGCTTAATTTATTCAAGACAAACTGGCTAAAGCTCGGTGTTTTCTATGTCCTCTTGGATCGCCACCATCATCACATCCCCGTTTGTGTTCACCTGACCCCCCATGGTGTCAGCCAGGGGCTGGTCCTTCGTGTCCTTCATTACGACAGATAACACTCCACAGACGGCCATGGTCGAACCAACAATGACGAAAGGCACCACGAGGTCACCATCTCCCTGTCAAAATTAAATTGAAGGTTTTCATCTGTAGTGGTGTTATGTTATGTCAAAATCTAACACACTAATCGTTGATGATTTTTGTCATAATGTACCAGGCAATATTTGCATATTACATTAATGTCTCAAATTTAGTTGTGTTATGTCTGATAGACGGTGAGTGGACACATATTTGGAAGCGTATTTAATGCTCTAGTGGGATGTATGACAAATCAATGCCAAATTCTTTTTGTTGTTACGTTTTGTCCACACTGCTCTATGTGATAATAACTATATCTGTTGGCAAAGTTGAATGACAATCACCTGATGACGGAGCTGAGTATCATTCATGTCATTCATAAAATAAAAAAGCCTGAATACCAATAGTTATTTCACTATCATCAACGCTATATGAATAGAACAATTAGATCTAACACAAAACAAAATGTCACTTTCATAACTAGACTCGGAGGAGTGACTTCTGCTTACAACAGTACTCCAGTTATATCACAATGTGTCAGCTTAATATGGGAGGAATGCCCGAGGTGATGCAGGTCTTAGACGTTTACCACAAGTTGACCAACCTAGAAACATAATCGGGGCAAACCGAAATTCAAACCGAGGATCTGAGGTTCCTGGCGTGTCCAAGGGACACAACTCTGCACAGCGAATTGCGACACCTTAGAGTTATTTAGGAGCCATGCCACTTTTGCACAAAGGAAGATATTTCTATACAGTTGAAAAGAATGTCCGACATATTAGTCAGCAAATATCCCCACGGCATCGGCTCAATGAACTTCACTGAACAATAAATAATAAACATACCCCTGCAAAGACGTATGGAGCGATCATGCCACCAAGTCGGGCTGCTGTATTAGCTGCTCCGTAACCCAAATTTCTGTAGGAAATGTAAACAAAACATTGAAAATACATTACCACAATTTTGGCAAATATTAAGGGCTGTATGATAGCTGAACGTTATTGGTTGTCATGTCAAAGTCCAATTATGTACTTCGTGAATAACGCTATTTATCAGCCACATACGATAGAGACATCATGTCCTGAATTATTACGTGTACTGTACCTTATGACAGTAGGGTACGTCTCACTTGCCAACAACCCGTAGGCAGCCCAAGCTCCACCAGCACCGAGTTTGGTCACCAGAGCCAAGACGTTAATGATGACTCCCTGTTCGTCTTTTGAGACTGAAACATACGTACGGTATTGATTAATTTGACAGAATAGCTAATTCGAAAATTAACTCATAATCACAGTACTGATTCATGTGATAATACATCTAAATCGAGCACCACTTCATATTCACGGTATTGAATAATTTGAGAGCACACAGCTAAATCGAAAATTACCTCATAATCACGGTACTGATAAATGTGACAGCACAGCTAACTGGCGCACTACTTCATATTCACGGTACGGATTAATGTTCGAGCACAGCTAAATCGAACATCACTTCAAATTCACAGTATTAATCATGTTGAGAGCACAGCTAAATCAAGCACGACTGTTGATAACAAAGATAAATCGATTACCACTTCTTACTGAATTGTAGAGAAAGTACGTCATGAATGATGTTACAAATAAGGCGACAGTTAATAGTTCCAGTATGACGTCTACTGAAGTCACCAATGCACTGATGTGTAGGACTCAAAAGGTGAACTGCAGATCATTTACTAAAACATATTTCACTGGCACATATCAATTTGTCATGCAGTTCAATTCATGACAGTAGGACGGACAAATGAACTTTGCCTTTACAAATCCACACCTGTTTTCGCAATGATTGCAACACCAAAAGCAGCGGAAGTGGCAACAGCAAAGAAACCAACCGCTGTCCATTTTCTACCAAATCTACGAAACAGAAGCAATGACATTGATGAGTGAACGAGTTCAAACGTAACGTCTTATCAACAATATTTCAAGCATGAGAAATGGGGTTAACCTAACAAACGGACATGATGTTAGTATTGTACGTGTAAATGTATATGAATATATGAGCTGGATTCATTACAAAACATATAAGAATAGCCATATTGTCTGGAAGTAATATGAGGCAAAAAACCACCGGCAGCACTGTTTACACAACTTTTGTCGTACACAATTTGGAGTAGAAGCTGCTAGAATGGGGGAAGACTGAAAAGAAACCCACATTCTTCTTTGAAATTGTGGATGTGGATAGCAGGGCATGCCTACCCTTTTCGCGGGACACCTGGTGTCATAACTGATTTTCAGTTATCTATTCATATGATTTCGCCATTACATTGCCTTTTACTCCCAAAGGTATCTCTTTCGGTATCTAATCTATACCAGTTATTCCCTGGCGTGCATGTATACTAAGGGACAACTCACTGCTTCAGATAGATGCCGTTGTTGTTTCTTCCTAAACTCGACTTTAAACCTTCTTTAAATATGATAGATGCGGTCATCTTCAGTTATGAAGATGTCAACATCTGGAAGCTTTAGAGGATGATACAGACAGCCGATTGATAACAAAGGTATTTGCACCTGGAGTTGCATTTGAGTAACATGAGAAAACAAAATTGTTATTTTTAACTTTATGAATCCAACAGTGTTTTACCAGGGTGTTGTCGATGTTTTTTCAGACATACAAGTAGGACATGAGTAACCAATTTTGACCTTCTTTTCCCTACGTATTGGCTTAAGAAAATTAACCTGTGATTTCAAGCGGCCTTGTCCACAAGTTGAATTTAAATTCTAATTCCAAAACATGTGTCAATGCTATTGTCTTGAGACCAGTCCAACGATTTATAAAAACAATAAAAAGTACCCGTTGATCTCCTATTCACACAACATGAGATGTTTCAACGTTTGGAGAAACAGTTTTTTCTTGTGATGATACCCGTTGGAAGACATAGTGAGTGAGTGAGTTGGGTTCAACACTGCTTTGAACAGTATTCAAGTTATATCACGGCGTGTCAGCTTGATGTAGAAGGAAAGCCTGCAGTGATGCAGGTCTCAGACGTTTATCACTTCGGTGAAACCCACCAGCACGGAGATGGTGCTGACAAACCCAGAAACATATCCAGGGCGAACCGGGATTCGAACCCACGATCATAGGTTTCTGGCGTGCCCAGGGGACGCAACTCTGCACTGCGATTTGCAGTGCCTTGGAAGACTGAATCAGTCACTGAATCATCTGGGCCAGGATCGATGTGCAGGGCATTGCCTGGAGTAATACTGAATATGCGGTTAAATAACATGCGAACAAATACACCTAGAGATGAGATTACTTGTTGTTTGTGAAGAAAGTCAACACAGTAGTTGGCACTTCCACCACTCCCAGAAGGAAGATGTTCAGATACAGGTTGCCTGCGAGTCTCCCTGCACCGAACGATATCCCATAGTACACCAGCGACAGACACGCCCTGAAAAACATTATTTTTTCGAATCGCTGAAGTTTAATAAATATTGTTTTCGTTAATCAAGACAACCAAAATATGCTTTTGACATGGTCAGAGAACTGTAATTCCTTTGTTGAGAAATAATAAACAACAAATCGAATGCTTCTTCTCGCTTCATCTAAAGAACAATCGTAGCCCTAAAATTAAGGGTGAAGTTATTGTAAGGAAATCGTAGGCTATCGTAGAATATTTTTGAAACTATCGTAGCCAAAAGGTATCTTAAGTTTGTCGTAAATCTAAGATAGCCCAGTTCCTGTCGTTGGCTTTTTCTACCTTTATATTTTTCAAACAAATAATCTGCTTTCCGTTCAAACCTTGACATTTCATTTTGTGAAAACTGTCTGATTTAAATTGACACTTAGAAAAAACGCAGAACGCATCAAAGATTTCAGAAATGCTGTTGATCGTCACAGCAATCCACATAACTATGGAGTTGATAGCTTACAATATATTTCTATCCTAGGCCATGCTGAAGAAGTGTGAAACAACATGCCTTTTCGATAATTTGGAAAGGATAAAAATGGAACGTGTCGGCAGGCTATAGTAATGACCTTGACCTTATTGATAACCAAGGGACAGCTAATCTTAGTTAATACTCCAACTGAGAGTGGTTTCCCTTTGTATTCGCGAGACCTTGCTCACTATTACAGTTTTCATAAAGCGCCGTTGTTATATATTCTGGATCTCATTTGTGACAATGTTATAGTCTTTATTTTCACATTTTATAAAATTATATCAATCTACGTATGTGAGAAGTGCAAAACCACAGCGTTTCTCATCAAGTCTTACATCTAAAATAGTGTTGAACAAGTGGTTTCAATGATTTAATATAACTATACAGTGTGATTTAGCAAGGAAATACATGTGATCAAATATATGTATAATATATCTGTATGAAGAGAATATTCAATGTTTTTCTAGCAAATGAAACTGTATTTTGTTTTAAAAACAACATATATGGTATCTATATTATTGAAAGGAAAATATTTGATAAAAAGTGGTTAAATATCGTTTATTGCACAATTGCTTTCCTTAAAAATAAGTGATTAACAACAAAGATGTATTCCATTAAATATAGCAATTTATTGGTATTTTGACAGTAGAAGTTAAGTACATATTTTTGTATCTTTTTTCTAGAATTGTGATTTGAAAAATCAAAAATGTGTTCCCATGCTGTTGTCAAAATGTAACATTTGACAATTGTCCAAAATTCAATTTCCAATATATTTTCGCAGTAAATGTTTATTGAATGAAATTTACTGATCAATATATAACATACATTTTCAACACAATAATCTCTGAATTCAATGGACCGATTTTAAAATAATATTTGATGTTGGTCAATTTTAAGATTATATGCACATTTACCAGTTTTATTTGTACAAAAATAGAAAAACTTCAGACCATTCAGAAAAAAATCATTATGAAGGATAGGGTCACCGGACAAATATTATTAAATAACCCTAAGGAATGCTGTCAAACAAGCAAAACGTCATCGAACTTCGTTCGGGAATAGATTTCACACATTTACAATGTAGATATTTCGCTCCTGAGTTAGATTTAAATGAAATCAGACAAATCATTTTAGTAGCTCTGATTAATTCAAAAGGATAGAAAAGGATTACATTATATGTATGTTCATGATAATTTGTGGTGTGTTCCTTAAGACAACATAACTTGACCATTCCTAAATGATCTCCCTTTGTGAACGAAAATTTGTGTCACATTCATATTTGGAAAAAGTATTATGGATCCAGATAGATTACATCATCTAAATACAAATAGTTTGATATTGTATTTGAAACCTTGGTTTATTCTTGAAATATATTGGAAACATAAATAACAAACAAACTTAGGTTTCATTGTCATAAAAGCTGGCTCGTGGGTGCGCTGCTTCCTGAACAATAATGTTTTGAGTGTTTCAAGATATAACGATGGTGTTTTCTCTATGAACTTGACTTTTGACATAATCACACAAAAACATGCAGTATTGTCAAACTGACCCAGTATACATCACGTATCGTCAGACTTTAACACACATCTTAAATGCTGAATGCCTGCTGTTCGATCAAAGGTCTCGTCATTGTCATTTAGAATAACGTCCCTTAATATCGTCCTTGACTTGACGCGATGTGTTTATATAAAGTTCTGCGCGCCCGCGAGATGACCATTGGAAGGGAATGAAGTATCTTTTGGCACATTATTTCAGTTCTTATAGCGATTAACTTCTTTTTTATCATAAAAACAAAACGTCTACATGTAGGACATATTTAGGATTGTACATAATGTCACTGAAACAGTTGCGTGTTAAACAGTGTGACCAAACAATGTCATCATGAATTCTGTCTCACTTCTCCATGTTGTTATTGCTAGCGGCTTGGAAATCCTCGTGACGTCATGTGGAAACACCCCGCTTTTTCAGTCTCTAACACAGATGAGTTCTCTGTCAGAGTTACGATAGGTATCGTAGCTCTAAACGATCTGCAACAGATTTACGATAGTTTTCAAACACTATCGTATCTTAAACTTAAGATATCTAATCTTTGAACGTAAGTTGTTAAGATTCATCTCACCTAAGATCGTTTAAAGAATCTAGGCCCTGAAGTCTGAGTTGTCCCAATTCTCTGTGTAATGTGAGTGAGTGAGTATGGTTTTACGCCGCTTTTAGCAATATTCCAGCAATATCACGGCTGAAATGGGCTTCACACATTGTACCCATGTCGGGAATCAAACCCGGGTCTTCGGCATGGCGAGCGAACGCTTTAACAACTAGGCTACTCGACCGCCCAACTGTGTAATGTACCTTGTTGTTACAGGATCCGTTGATCAGAGCTTCGAATCCCAGATTAACTCTTTTTGAAACCCACTCACTATACTTACCATACGAACTGTATGATGAGAGACTTCCAGCATATGCTCCAGCCCCTGTAGATGTCCAGATAGGTGTACTTGCTGCCAGACGATCTCAGACTCTTCTCCTCTTCTGCCACTTGTTTCAGCAGCTGCAGTGTGTTGGTGGGCTTCTCTCTTTTGTTGTATCGACTCATCTGGTCCACGACCTTCTCAGCCTCATCAGTCCGCCCTTTGACTGCCAACCAGTGCAGACTCTCTGGGACAAAGCTGGCAGCGACCGAAATAGATATGTAAGATGTAAGATGAACGTGTTAACAATGGCTTTGCATTCTTTTTCCAATTTCGCTAATTTTGATGAACGTTGGATACCCGTAATGCATATTAAATGAATCTGCAATAATTCAAGATAAATAGATTAGACCCAGTGGTGATTCAGAGAGAGGGGCCCTTGCAGGCTATGTTTATCAATGTGTTTTAGTCACGCTCAATGTTGTTGTACTTATACAGTGACATGCATGTACGTATGGCACTGATGAACTTTTCGCAAGATATGGACACCTTTACCTGACCTACAGATGCTTCATATAAATAACATAAACCTTTCACACCTGTGCGTGTGTGTGGCGTACGTGTGGCTGCTTGTACTAGTGATGCCAGAATTATCGTCCGAGGGTGTATGAGATACCACGCCAAAGTTTGACATAGTTACCCCACTACGGCAAAGTAAACCATCTCAGTGTCGCCGAATAGTCCTTGTTTTTAATCCCCTAAATGCTGAGCCCTAGGCAGGGAAACAACAAGTACCGTCGTTTGACTTCGTATGCTATGACGCTGCAGTGGATCGGGCCACTGACCTTCCGCTCTCTGTGCAGACGCTCTATCCAGTAGACCACGGAGGCGATCTGAACGGATCAGGTGGTCATGTTTGGCGACTTGTAGATTGACTGATATCTTTGCGCAATGTGGTGAGGTGAAAGGGGGTTTAACATTGCGTCCAAGATTATTGCACTTATATAGCGGCGCGCGCGTGTGTTTGTGTGTGTGTGGTATGGTGTGGTGTGGTGTGGTGTGGTGTGTGTGTGTATGTATGTGTGTATGTGTGTGGCTGCCAGTACTAGTCCGGTCTGATGCCGATTTACAGTGCTAGCCCACTGAGATACCACACCGCAGTTTAGCATGATGCCCCATTCAGACACAGTATACTGACTGAGCCGACCAGTCCTTGTTTTAACCCCTTAATGCCAAGCGCCAGACAGGGTAACAACAAGTACCATCTTTTTGGTCTCCTGGCGAACACTCTACCACTACACCACAGAGTGCGTCATATCTTTGCCCAATAACGGCTTATAATTAGTCCACTCCAGATGTAATTATTTACTGACCACTGTCATATAGCTGGTATATTGCAGAATGTGACTTTAAATAATCAGACTATATTGGTATGTTTTGAAGGTATATAGTTAGTTTAAAAAGTGCAGTTTCATGCAAAACTTCTTCTTTTTTTATAGTGTGTGATTATCATGTTGACATATTTTTGATGCTAATGATGCAGCATTTAATCAAAGGCTTAGTAGTCAACCTTTCGTGGGTTGGATGGAGGCTCTGACAATGTCTCACTCTCGACTTAAGATACTTACAACCATCCCGCGAAAAAGGGCAGATGAAGGGCAGCCAATATGATGTGTTGATGAGACCAGTCAGGCCTCAACCAGCTGGACAGGGCAAATGCACATAAACCAGTTACCCAGACTGGAATTGCCGATGCAAGTGGTCGAAATTTTCTTCCGAGGAACTCAATGAGATACGGGTAGCATCCCACCAGAAGAGAGCCTGTCATCATCCCGATGAGAAAACGCAACACTGTAAACATCTGCCAGTTGACGGAGAATGCTGCCACCAGGTTGAATCCACCTTGAAGGACCAGACAGACGAAGTAAGTCTACTTCCGACCGAGGACGTCCGCAGACTGTCCGCCAAGCAATGCTCCAACAAAGACTCCACCCATTTGTACTGATGTGACGAGTGGATTGACCTCTTTGCGGTCACAAATCAAATCACACTGAAAGAAGAAATCAATGCATATCTGTTAGTTTAACGTCGCACCCCACACCAGCTTTAAACGCGCCAGTCTTTAAATAATCGAGTATGGACGAGACAAATCAGTGACAGCAATAGAGCATACTACATGCGTTTTCATATAGAAGCATCATTTTACAATACCATTCTATACAATCTGAATGAGCGACAGCGATTCCCGGATTCCCTATAAGCGAAGGTTCCTAGCCAACCCACGCTTGACGTAACGCCGCTTCAACAGTATCTTTGTTATATCATGGCGTGTCAGCTAAAAGTGGGAAGAAAGTCCGAAGGGATGCAGGTCTCAGACGTTTACCAATTTGATTAAATCCACAAGCTTATCAGAAAAGAGGTCACAATCATTTGGTCGTCATGCTGGGTGACTCAGTTGATTTGTCATGTCATCGTACCAGGGCGGTGTTGGGCGTTGTTCATAATATAAATCATTGGTTTGTCTTTCTTCAGATTCTATTCAATGCATGGCGCCGTCATATAGCTGTAATATTGCTTAGTGTTATATTAAACTACAATCAACTTGCACACTCCTAATTTTCTAACACAAGTTTGAAAGGGGGCTGAATTAAGACTACCTACCTCACTGACGATAGTGTTTTTATCCTGGCTGTACACAACCTGACAGGTGATGTTGTCCGAGGTGGGACACAATTTGAATGTGACGTTGTTCATGCCGTAGGTCTCATCAACAGAGGGCGCAGTAGCTGGGAGACACCACCAATCCGGAGTAGTCGCCGCAAACGACATTATCAACATCCCCCACCCCATCAGCATCTTTGGACCCAATATGAAGACAACCATGAGGATCTGGAAGCGGGACATACCCCCGACGGCCTCGATTATATCATCCGTGTGCATCCTTGTCACCGTAGCGTCTTCACTGTTTGCAAAGGAACATGTCTAACTAAATAAGGTACAGTTTACATTCATGGTAATATGTGCGTCTAAATAGTACCAATATGAAACACAAAGATAATGATCGCATTTAATTAGCGTTTGGGTAAACCGTATGTCCATTATTAAGAGTCGGGGTAGAAGTTTTGCAATAATGAAAGAAGCGGCAGGCCTTTTATAATATACGGGCCGGTTCAAACACAGGTAATGTTATACCAAGGCCGAGTCCCCAATAAGAACCATCCTAAGATAAGCCTTGGATCAAGCGATCAAAACAACACCTGCATCTAAATTCCCGGTTTTGTGTTTGACAATCCATATCACAGAAGAATGAATCGTAATTTCATGACAAAATCGGATTTGGACACAAATCGTAAAACATACACCGTAATATCAGCTTACAGTTCTCCTCTTAACGATCAACTACCTGTTGTCAGACCTGCTGTGGTGTGTGAGAAGGTCAGCGTGCCTTGTCAACAGCGTTCTTCTCTGTCACGCCCTCCCCTGGCTCAGATAGCTTTGAATTTAACACAACAGTGTGTGTCAAAACGGTGATGTCAGTGACATAAACAAAGGATGAGGCAAGTAAAATAACAATAAGATTATGGATGATTGGGGTCTCAACCACACTCAGTACATCACTTGCTTGAGAACGGGAACGTCGCTCTTGTAACGAAAAAGTTGTTCGTCCATGAATTCTTATCCTTACTTGGTACTTCAACTTCTAAATGCCTATCAAAGAAGTTTACGTAGATTATCAATATCAAAGTCGTCATCTGCCGAAACTTCATTTAAAGATTTCAAAAAGCTGAATAATGCTTCACTAACTGGTAGCTTTTCGTCGACAGACTGCCTTTGCTTAAGAAGTTTTCTTTCAACATTATGTAATTTGTCTTCAACTTTATAAAAATGCATATTTGAAAATTTATGAATGCAGCTTTTATAACTTTTACTTGCATTAAGTAGTCGTTGTTTAGTTCGGAATGTTTGACTACGTTTGAAACATCTCTTGGCCTCCAGGTCTTTCCCACGGGCGATTTTACAATGTTTACCAAACCAAATTTTAGAGCGCTTGTAGGATGTTGATTTTCTCTGACTCTTTTTAACAAATCCGAACACTCTGCCAGGTGTATGAAGAAGCGCATCACTCATTTACATTTACAACATCAATTGGATTACAATAGTCACCACAAAGCAGCTCAGATTCAATGGATTGTTTAACCTCTTTGTCAGTAGAGTCGACATATTCAATAGCAAGCGTCCTATTTCATTTTCTAAGGCGGGGGCTTGTTTGTTAACGCTTGGGGTGATACAGTGACAGGTGAGTGGACATCTGAGAACAATGGTTAAAACTCTAGGACCTCGAAATCGTCTTTTGTTGGGAAAACATTAGCGCTCGCTACAGCATAATCAACCAAGCTTACTCCTTTACATGTAACATTGCCAACTCCTTTGTCATGTCCAACTCGGCCATTGACAATGTATATATTATTGCTTTTAAATAAATCAACTAGCTTATAACCTTGTGAGGTTGGATTCCTCACACCCTAACGTGACCTTTCTAACAACACATTAGCATATTTTAGTCTTTCAACATCTTTCATTTTGTCAACAAAATCGTTGGGGATTATATCTTCGTTGATAGAGCTTGAATTTGTTGTAATAAAATCTTTTTTTGAACAATATTTATTGCCACTTGGTACAGTGAAAGGGGATTGATTAACAGGTATACATAAAATCTCTCCCCAACAAACTTCAAACAAGCAGCAGTGAGTGAGTATGGTTTTACGCCGCTTTTAGCAATATTCCAGCAATATCACGGCGGGGGACACCAGAAATGGGCTTCACACATTGTACCCTTGTAAGGAATCGAACCCGGGTCTTCGGCGTGACGAGCGAACGCTTTAACCAACAAACAGCAGTAGTTTAATTATACAGGTAGTATAGACTTGATATTAAGTCGTATGCGGTACATCAAAAGTAAACAGTTGTTAGTGAGAATTATGTAAGAGTGCATGTTTAGACAAATATGTTGCTCATAGAGAAGAAATGATTACAGAGTCAACGCTATTCACAGTATTTCTTTGTCAAGGCTGACGTTACCAAACAGGACGGTTCGAAGGTCATAACCATTAACATAATGATAGCTTTCTGATCTAATCTCAGTATAATTTGGGCAAGTATATAGGTAATGTAAAGCGCTTTCATTGAAAAAAAACACATGACCATTCAGGATTATCGCTAATAAATCTGTCAAATTTGTGACCGTTTAGATCACGACATCCCAGTCTTAACTTATAGTGGATTATCTGATTTACGCGTGAACCAATGATTTTAAATATGCCAGGCACTTCTGATTTACTAATGTTATACAGTTTTTTAAACTGAGATAATGAAGCCGCCTCTCTCAAAGTAGAATCTAGTGCATTCCAGGCGGAGAATGTGGAAGGTTAAAATGATTTTTTAAATAATTCAGTTTGGCAATTAGGCTCATAATATTCGTTGGTGTTACGTTATTCATAATGTGGGCTATCCAACCTTACTCATGTTGTCGATTTTGTTTTCTTATTAAGGAACGTATTATATCATTGATCCACTGTGGATCCTTTGATCGTAAGGTAACAATTCTACTAGGAATATGTTTATCACAAACATTTATAATTCGAGATGTAAGTTCGTCAGTAATTGTGTTCACATTCCCTGATGTGAATAATAAATCACTATCAATATTCAGCATTACAGTATTTAAGCCATCTAGGTCTGCTATAGAATAACAGTACTCTTTACGTTTGAAGGAATGACATTTAGGGATTATATCTTTAATGGTTACAAATATTGGACAGTGGTCACTACAAACTGGATCAAGTACTCCAGAGTCCTGTACACTATCAACATCTGTCACAAAAACTTAACCTATCAACGTATTGGAATGTTGGGTGATCCTCGTAGGCTCTCTAATAATTTGTGTAAGTCAATGAACCATTTGCAAATATTAGATTTGTTGCTTATCATCTCGAAGTATATCTATATTAAAATCTCCTGCAATTACAGTGTACATATTCATATCGACTGCGTTTCCTATTGATTGATCAATTAGTTCTCAATACGCTTCACTCTTATCTGCACGATAAACAGTACCAATTAAATAATCACGAGTTTTGCATTTAAAATGTACCAATATCGCCTCTAGACCAACTATGAGAAGCCGATCCATATATTTGACATACATATTATCTCTGACGTTAATAGGTACGCCACCCTTTAGAGTTGACCTGTCTTTCCTAAATGAAACCTGGAAACCAACGATAATAATGTCGCTGTCGTGTATACCCGTGTGTAACCATCATGTTTCAAATATGGAAATTACATCATAATGTCTATGTTCAACTTCAAGGATATCAAGGATATCAAGGATACAAACGTTTAGATGAATAATCTTTAAATCTGTGCCTATTAAGGACCCTGGATTAAGATGAACATCTCCACAGCTGGGGAGCATTATTGAAAAGAAGATTGAAACTGATTAATTATATAAGCAGAGACTGTATAAAATGCATGAAGACTTTACATTTTGATTCGTTTTTAGTATGAAGATAACATACAAAGGAGCCTACCGTTAGCTTGTATTGTGTTATATCAACTGCCATTGAATAAACTCAAGTCTACAAGTATCATAAAATACACATTAGCGCTAGCTCGGCATGTGAACACAATAAAGTCAAATGACAATTCTTTTTGTTTAAGTAAACAGTAAATAACCAAAATGAACAAACAAATAAAAAGCAAAATTCAGAATGAGGTAATTACCATTACCTCGGATGAGAAAATAAATCTTAAAGAACAGGGAAACAGTTATTTACGGAACCCTACAATAACTCATTGACTTCGATAACTTGTTTTTAACATAACCCAGTACCCGATTCGGAAAGATCGAAAAACTACTAGCCCTCTCTATATTACAATATGTTTCTTGGTGAAAGCCTCCAAGTTATGCATCAGATAATCAACCTTTGTCAGTTAATATCCAATATATTTGGTAAAATTCAGTTGGAAGTCTATTCACACAAACTGGTCAACATGCATTTGGCTGATCCTACCCTCGATTAGGCTGAAACACAATCCAAACTTTTAGTCACTCGAAAGTTGACATCCATCGTTTTTTCACCCCAAACTTGCATAGTTAATATTCAAATGTCACAATGGATTACTATTTCCGTTCCCTGTTCGAAACTTAGCTAGATTTTACATCCTTTTGTCGGGAGCTCCGATGAACACCAAGTTGTTCCAACGACCTTCACCTTCCTTTTAAGTACTGATTTTCTACCAGTACTTGTAATTCTATGTTTATAAAACATTACATATCCATGAATGTCAATACAATCAAATTCATTTAGTTTTGTTTCCAGAAAACATAACACTCCACAGTTTTATTAAAATTCGTAAATTCAGAAATAAGTAATCTAGATTTCAAACCACACAACATCTAAATAAATCGGTTTAAAATGAAAACCATCACTGTTACGCCAGCGTTAGCTGGCGGGGGCTAATACACAGGTTGCTCTGTTGGTATATCATTACCTGAATGTACATGAATATCATCACAATTAGATTCACATGTTTTAATGTTGTTGGATGACACATTATTGTTATTTGTAACATACACATCACAATAGTCCGTTGATTTACCAAAAAAGTAGGGTTTGAAAAATTCATAAAAAAATGGAAAATCAATAAAACATTTTTTTTTTAACTGCACCCCACCATATGACAAGGGTTAAATGTACTATGTTTGAGATGAATTCACTGAATAGTTTAAGAGAAATCGCGCGGACAAAGTTTTCAGACGGACGGACGGAACCTTGGTCTAACTATATACCCCCGACCTAAAATAGCAGTTAAAATGCAGTTAGTGAGCCTTAGCGACCAGTGTCAGACAGCCGAGAAGAAGCCACGTATTAGTGCCC